ATAACTCGTATGTAATGATGAGATATTTGCAAAACTCCGGACCGCAGGTGTATGCGGTGGGGAACGAACACGCGCTGTTGTCCTTACCGGGGAGCAGCGCACTTCACTACCACTCAGCTTAACTGGGTTCAATGCCGATTTGGGCTCCCCAGATCAATCCCGTTGACGGGTGATTGCTGATGGCAAGAAGATCGATAGAACTAGTTGAGAGACAGGCAAAACGAAGGATATCTCAGTATTACATACGAGTTATATTTCGCAACATACCCTGCCATTAAAAAGAAAAAGGCAGTAAATAAAAGGGTTAAGATCTGGATTTTCATCAAAACAGAAGGCTATAGTGACCGTTTGATGGTTTCTGGATTTGTCCAGCATAACTTTGTGATCCCGCCCGAAACGATTAAATTGGAGAGGCATTGCAATGAAATGGATGAGATGCATCGAAATTCAAGCCTCCAGCGTTGCCTTACATAAGTTTAGCCGTTTAGTATCACCATACTTTGCACAGCCAATGCCGCAGATGTTGAACGAATTGGGCTACGAAACTATCTCATCCAGTGTACTCACGAGTCATCTCTCTAAACAATTACCACTTTTCGCACAATTTTCGTCCTAGGAACAAGTTTTCAGCAAATCTTCAGCAAATGAACACAACTGGAAATGACCCTTAAAAAGTCGTCGTTTCCAAAGCACTAAAAGTCTAGTTTACCATATAAATGAAGTTCTTATCAAGCAAAGCTTGTAAATTCCAATTCTAATCTGATTAATAAACTTATGTTTGAATCCAGTTGAGACATCCTTAAGTTGCGGAACTAAGCCAGCTCAGAAACACCCAAAACGAAGGACCCACATGGTGTGGTGGTGAACGTGTTTCTCCCCGGAAAAGACAATAGCAGGTTCGCTCAGCACCGCAGACACCTGCGGTCCGGAGTTTTGAAAATATCTCAGCATCATTTAAGTCAGTCGTTGTTCTTGAAGATAGCTGTTCAGATTTAACGGTATGTTCATGTACTTATTTGCTATTACAACAAAGTGAAATCTTCATGTCAGGGAATTTTTCTGTGTAGCGAACTGCATATAAAGCTGGAGCTTCCCGACTGGTGGTTTCGTCCTCTAGCGAGAATGAGCGCTTTAGCAACTACGTTGGGCTTCAAGCACACAAACAACTACAAGAGTAAACTACAAGAGTCGACAAGAAGTCCTACACTTCTATCTAGAAGTCTAGGAAAGTGTTAATCTATGCTAATAGTTACAGCAGTCTTTAAAGAAGACCGTTTCAAGTCGGAAAACATCTGATCCTCAGAGAGGATGGTTATCAGTGGTGACGACATGAGAGCACCTTAACAACTATGTCGAACAACAAGTACGCGAACAGCAAAGTACTTTGCACTCCACTCGTAAAATACACAATCTTTACGATAGCTACTTTATTGAACAATTGTCTGAAATTTGGTGAGAAGCCCATAATTACTTGGCTCAAAGATTGAGAGAACATAAATGAAATTTGCTGGAAATCGGATTTCACGGGCAAAGTATTTTCATGGTGATTATATCTGAGGTAGTATAAGTGCTTTCATAAATATTACGGTTATTATTATTATTGTTTCTATGTTTTCATTCCTTGGCACTGATTCCATTACATGAAGGTACTTCTGAAGCATATCTTTTGATTCTAGAGACGGGTATACCAGGTGATATTCTAAATATCGTTCTCTTGGTGACTCCTGTGGCGTACTGAACACGCTTTATTTTGATAGTTCCGATTCAGGTGATAAGTGCTTTTCTATTTTATAAGTTCAACTCTACCTGGAGGAACGCCTTCATGAGGTCGCCATTCCAACTTAACACTTGATGGCCCCAGAATATGGGTTGTGAAGTCCAAAGGAGGGACTAATTCATCATCATCAATGAGCACACCACCTATAGATACCTAAAAGGCTTATTTTACAGTACTCTTCATCGGATTGTGCTGTATCAGCTTAAGCCATAGCAATGCTTGAAATACGGCTTTAACGATCGTTGTATCATGTTTGTTTAAAAGGCTTGATTTGCCCCTTAAGAGCTTGGTGCACCATTGTCGTCATAGTTATATTTTCATAAGTGTGAATGAGCATTAAACATAGTGGAGTAAACCAAACCTTTTTGTTAAGCGTCACAATGAGCTCCTGCCCCCAGTCATCAGCAATTTCACCGTTTTGTTCCGCTTTCACCTGAAATAGGTTGATGATTCAATAACATCGCATTACTTGGGCGCAATTTAATTTATGTCCGAGGAGTTTTCCATTAAAGTGAAGTAACATTAATTATTTCTTGTTTGCTAGCGCTTTACTTGGGTTTTTTGTGTATAATGATGCTATTCTCGGAACTACTACTCGTTATTAGTGCCCATTTAGCAGTGCTTTTAAATGAATATTAAAGTCGAATCCTCTATTTCTTGTAGTCTTGCCATTGTTAATTGCTAACGCTAATTGATGATCAATGTTTTTTCATAATCTGCAACCAAGAGCTTTTGAGGGATGATGTGGTTACTATAGAAATCTCTCAGTGATTGACTGATTAATGAGTCAGTAAAATAAATTTACCATAATCTGTGATGAATCAACTCGGCACTAGGGCAATAATTAGTCACCATATTTTTTTAGTGCAATTTAAGCTTTGGGAAATGCTGTGGAGCCTGATCGCATTCCACATAAAATCATGGACTTAGTGAAGAGTGAAATCTCACTCAGGGATACATTGAGGAACCGCAGAAGTAGCTGCGACTGCAGAAGTGATTGTTTAGTCCAGGAAGGGCGCAGTGATTCCATCATTTTGTTATACCCATGCGATAAAAATGAAGAATTTGGCAGTGCCTTTCCTAAGATCCATATTTGCATACTTCTACAACTTGTCATGCCCATCTCTCATCAACCATACTTATCAAATTTCAAATGTATGTAAGGCGTTCTAAATGCATGCCCTTCTGGATCACGAAGATGAGATATGTCCAGTGGCTATAGAACGCGATCCACAACACTAAGTCCATGATGAAGTCGTGCCTCGGAAGAAATTGCTTCGACGCTCTCTTAGCTATGATCTGAGTCGTTAACAGTATGGTACTCAGTCGTAGTGAGTTTTCATGAGCTAGCTTATTTCCGTGCCTGTTGTGGGTTTATCTTATTTCTGTTTTATTTCTTTTTGATTCGTTACTCAATACGTCATATTTTGCTTTATCTTTTGAAAAGTTTCACTAGTTCATTCACTGTTGCATCCATTGAAGTTTTCATTAACGTATATCGTACTTGGTTCCAATGGAGTAGTTTTCTTTCTGAATTGTTCTGATGTTCTGTGTGGGTGACACTGAGTAGCCTTCTCGACCTCGCATAGTCACTGCACATGTGATGAAAGGCAGACCAGTGGTCAGTTCTCCCCAAAGAAATGTTTTCGCTTATTAATGAAATCGTCCAAATTCTATGAAAAAGCAATTCTCTTCGACTTTAACTACTGATTTTACCATTGAATCATTCTAGCAGTATCACTTTGATAACTGTGTTTGTTTAGATCTGCTGGAGTGTCTCCATTTATGAAAAAGCAATCGATTGCAGCAATCAAAGAAATTGAGCAAGAAGTCGAATTCTTTTCAAAAACTGATAATCTGAAATACGTGCGATATCCACACTTATATTTGCAATCGATATCGATAGAAAACTAGCTGAGAAACAGGCGAAACATGGTGTTATAATGAACGTGTTAGCACCAGAAAAGGGTAATAGCGCGTTCGTCCCCCACTACAGGCACTTGCGGCCCGGAGTTTTGCAAATATCTCAGCTTCATTGTGGTAGTATCACACGTAATTTCTTGCCGTGAAAAAAATACAGAAGGCACCAAATGAATAATTAATATCTTAATATCCACATTAAGTTTTTTTTTTACGAAAATAGTCTGACCAAAGTATCATTTAAGCAGAGCAACAATCGTTAGACTCGGACTGCAATAAATTGCCAAAAATCGCCGTTTTCGGTAGTAATGGTTAAACATCTAAATAAGCATGTTCTCCGCTTCCAGCCATGATTTCCTATCAGCTGCTTCATGTTTTCTAATGTGTCAGTACATATTTCAACATTACTTCTGCACCTAGACTGCATTTATTAAGGAAGGGAGAATGCTAAGCATCAGAACACCGATCCCTCGTGTTATGACCATTACGATTTGTAATGAGTAGGTGCTGGCGACGTAATACATCGAATTCAATCGACAATAGTGTTGTGAGAAGTGGTTGAAAATACAAAAGTTGGAAGAGCTTTCGTCATTGCGTATATCGTTTTCGCTCTTCATTTCAAGGCAATATCATCAAGTGGAACTTTTTTTCCCGATGAATTAGTATTGTTTATAGTATGTCTCCTATTGGTAATCACATACCGTGGGCCAGCCAGAGAAAATGTCTGATTGCACCCTTTGTGCACCGGTTTTTTTCCCACTATTCTGCGATATGAAATTTAATTGGTAGTCGCCAGCCATAATATTTTCTCTATTTTGTACACCGTTACATATCGTTGCAATTTTCCATGACTATTACGCTCAAGCGGATAATATGCAACTATTGGTCCCACCTAAGGTTTGCATGAGACAGCAGACGCGAAACCTACTGACGTTCACTACGGCTGTTCATGTTCAAAACTTACCTAAGGTCTTTTCATCGGGTTCTTGGTACAATAAAAATTGATTTCATGAGTTGAAGTCTAGAGAATTTCCCATGGATTAATGGCATTGTTGCTGATTTCTACGTGTTCCTTAGCAGTTCTACAGTTCTAGTTGTTACAACTTATAAGTGAATGAATTATTGACCAATGTCGAGATTAATAGGAAGTCGTTGTTGGAATTTACTATCAATCTTTTCAGATCCCGGAAAAAAGAAAGCGTGAAAATAAAGCCGGCTTTGGATGATATCTCTCGTTAAGTACCTGTACAAAGAGTTCTTCTCCATGCTTGAACTCGGGGAGATTGATAAGCAGTTGTGCTTGAGACGTTCGAGCATACTCCCACGTTGAATTCTCTCGACCAAGACGATAACGAACGGTGAAATCCACATCTTGAAAAGAGTTGCTGTTTAATGAAAACACTTCACATTTATTGGGCACTCACTGTTGTACATGGAATTGCAACTCAATCACTTTTAAATCCTCACAAATATAACACATACAACACAGCGATAGCTGACGTTTCGGCGTTTTTTAATCACTTTTCCTTTCCATTTGATGTCATTTTCTATTTTGTTTGCCATAAAAGAGAAACTCAGCAGGGAGTAATGCTGACAGCAATAAGGGCAGCGTAGGAAAAAGTAACAAAATATAACCATTAAATAACGACGATCAGAACTGCATCGGTTCCGAGTTATTTTTCTGGATTTTTTGTTTGGTATTAAGCACTCTTTTCGCTAACTAAAGTCGGTTAACAGGTTAAAGCTTCAATTCAATATTGTTTTTAGGTGTTTCTGAGATCTATCTTATCAATTGGCGCTCACTGTGTCCATCATTTGGATTTTCGCCCCCCAGTTCCTTTAATGTCGGACCACCAGCCACAAGGGGTGGATCGGTAAGCATCCTGATCCATATCTGAGAGCTTGCCCATTGATTTAATCTGCCGAGAAATTCCCATTTTCTCGGCTTTGCTGAAGCTTTTCATGCAGCCAACCTGATATCGATTTCATAGTAGTCTACTAGTATAAATGTCGTCAAATATTCCTAATTTGTTATTGAAAACGAGGCGTATGAGAGAAGAAGTGTTCATAGGAGTTATGAGGTGTAATATATCGGGTATTCACCTTCCGGTAGAATCGCAGAAACAGGAAAGCTGAAAATGTCCACCCAAAAGCACAGACAGGTGTAAACTAACGCCACTAGAGGGCTCTATGAAGTATTCATGCCTACCTTCTCTACAAAAGTAAAAATGATGAGCTACCGAATATTAACATTCTTCGTAAAGTGTAAGAAATCACCTGATATGGGCCTCATATAGTTCCATTGGATGAAAATCGCACCAGTGTTGTTGTCAAACGTTGCATGTAAATTTCGAATGTTGTAGTTCGGCAAAGTGAGAATCACGGATGCTATCAAGAGGATAGTGGAGCAAATTTCATGCAAACCCATAGTGGTCACCTATGTTCTACGTTGAAGAGGAGGCACCTTTAGTGAACGGCTTTGGAGCAGCTGGCGCAATGACGACGAAGTACGCAGTGTACCCTGGTGCCAATGTAATATTTGAGTTGTAATGTCCTCTGCCCAAGGGTATGAACAAGCCATAGTTCTCACTGGGATACCATATTACACGTCTTGAAGGCCGCAAAAGGCGGATTTTCCACTCTTTCTCAGCAAAATGATGATGCGAGATTTATGAGGGACTTTTGGGCCTGAGAATAATTATATTGTTGCAACTGCTCGTTAGCTACTGCAAGCAAATGCATTAAAAGTTTACTATTTCTATTATGATGAAAAATTTTAGACTTACAGACACTACGAGTTCTTGGTTGCCTATTAACTCAATGAAGCAGAAATTGACTGAGAATACACTCTACAAGTTTGATGGAATGGCCATATTTTTGTTCCTCAATACCTTCGCCGCTTTGTTCGGCTTCTTCTTATAGGTCAGAAAAAGTAGGTCAGATTTCATGATGACGATTTTTTTGCTAGTGATTAAATTCGTGCGTTATTCATTTGTTGAATCGTTTTGTGATCCTTCATAACGGCTTAAGCGTCTCATAGCTGTCCACCTTTTTAGAACGTACTCTTTTTGTATGTCGTCGAACTGTGGAGTGCATGGGGATGTGCTCCAGTGAGTCTTTTCAAATGGCCACCGCTGGTGGCAGCACGTCGTCTCTCCTTCCTCATCCTCAATGCTTGCTTCCATCTCTACCGAACGTTCAAAGCCAAAGCGGTGCTGTAGTTTCGTTGTGATTCCCTAGTTAGCTGTGACGTTCATAATTTGGGCAGCTTCCGCAGCTAAACGTTAAGTTTGAATACTCGCAAAAAATCCTCGAATTTCTTTCCTTTTCGTTCCACTTTTATTTTAAGAGGTTAAATTCGGCTCAATTTAAAATAGAGGCGAAAATATCAACATAAAAAAGACGGAATAAAGGTTGCACTTTAAAATGCTATGCAGTATGAAAGCATAGGCATACGACATTCTTTGAAAACAAAGCACCAATATTTTGATGCAAAAGCGAAGCTAAATTATAGTATTATATTATATATTATATATCTATATTATAATATAATTATATTATTATCGTGCATATTATGGTTGTACTATTATTATATTACTATATTATAATTATATATATTATATACTAATTAGCGAACTAACAACGCAAACAGGCGATAAAAGAAGATCTTAGAGGGAGAAGAGAAGCAGTGATGGCTGAAGCTGCAGGGGCTGGAAGAAAGCTTGCGGAAGCTTCTCCAATTACATGACCAAGATGACTGCACTCCAGCGCCTAGAAAGGCAGTGGAGAAAATCATTCACGAATATTACTCAGATCTCTTCCATAGCCACGTCCACCTTCTATCATATGAAATAAAGGAGGATGGATATGTTGTAACACCGGTTCTCCCTTCCGAAATCCGACATGCAATTTCGTCGGTGAAAAGTCGAACAGCACCAGGTCCGGACAGGATAAGACCAGATAGCCCTTGATAGTCAACGAGTCCCTACTCAGTACATAAAGATTCTTTGTGAGCTGTACAAAAATTTCACAACCAAGATATCACCATTCTACAACTATATTAACATTGACGTCAAAAGAGGAGTTAGGCAAGGCGATACCATCTCTCCAAAATTACTTACCGCCACCCTCCAAAACGTCATGCATATATTGGAATGGGATAATATTGGAGCGAAAATCGACGGTCGGCAGTTACACTATCTTCGCTTTGCTGATGACATCGTCCTTAAAACACCAAACATTTGCCAAGCGGAACGTATGCTTGACGACTTTGATAAAGCCTGTGGAAAGATTGGTCTTCGACTAAACCTCACAAAAACGGTGTTCATGAAGAACGGATTGGTTTCGCATGCCCCATTCACGCTTAACGGAACGAATATCTTCGAATGTTCCAGTTAAATCTATCTAGCTCGGGAAATTAATATGAACGACTTAGCTCCAGAGCTGAGCAGAAGGAAACGAGCGGCTTGAGCAAAGAGCATCGAAGATGTAGTACAGAGAACAAAGAACACCCGACTCCGTGTCCACGACTCAACGGTACTTCCTGCCCAAACGTATGCGTCAGAAACTTGGCCGCTGCGTAAGCAGGATGAAAAATCATAGCGTTATCGAACGCGCAGTCGAATGGGCGATACTAGGAGTATCTCGTTTCACACAAGTAAGGGATGGAATCAGGAGCTCCGAACTGCCTCATCGATCAAAAATCAAACATGCCGTTCTGTACGCCAAACAGTCGAAGGTAAGGTGGGCCGGACACGTAATGCGTATGAATGACAACCGATGGACAAGAGCCGTTAGTGACTGGATTCATCGGGATGTCAAAGGTACTGCAGGAAAACCACCGACCCGATGGCCAGGATTTTTAACGAGGAGTCTGGAAGAAATATATGATGCTCGACGAGGCCCTAGAACAAGCAGAACCCACTGGGCTACTCTTGGACGCGACAGGGAAAAACAGAAGATTTACTGGCACCCGCTCGAGTCACTCGACGATCAACGGGACTACAGGTGACAGGTGGCAGGTGATATCGAGGTCGAATAGCGTTCGTTCCAACAGGCGCAGTTTTTAAACAAAACGCTATCATTGGAGAGATATTCGACGAAGTCTTCAGTTTTCCACTAAATCTTTATGAGGTAAGGAAATGAACTTTTACACTTGTCTGGTTTTTATTTTAATGTTTAACAGCATAGTAAATGCTGTTATATACTTTCGGTGCTTCAGTTTATAGTAATCTTTTTTCATTTCTGCAAAATCTCACTAATAAATCTTAGAGGTACTTGCAGTGGAATAAAAATACTTAAATTTAAAATTGATTATGGATGTTGAAAAAGGAAGGCACTATGTTTTGAGGCGGCTTTTAAGAATGCATTGTTCTCTGGTTCAATACTGCCGCTGCTCCACGAGCACACATAGACAAGCTACTCATTCGCGCGTACTCGTAGACGTTAGCGAAAGCCTGTTAACCACTGCAAATACGTTGACTGGTTCATATCTATTAGTGTTATTATGCTATTGAACCGTAGTACTTTTCGAAAGGAACACAAATCTAGCATTTCTCTGTTTGAGCATAATCAATGCTTCTCTTTTTGAAGTTGTCCTTAAACATGATGACAATAAATCGTTTCAAAGAAGACAGCGGTTTCTGGTTCGCTCTTTTAATTTACCAAATATCCTAGAAATCTGATGTCCACGAAGCTTTTCATAGATTTCTGTCACTCATTTCTATGGCTTGTTAAACCTCAGCTACACAACCAGCATTAATTTAAGCGCTTCTTCTTTCTACTTATATTCGCATCATTGCTTTCCACGCAGGTATTTCTCATCAACTTCATGATAGACAGCTCCATACTGTCTTTGCATAAAGTTGTGAATCCTTATAATATCTTAAAAACTTACTTTAATTAAACCTCTATGAGAATAATCAATAATATTCTACATGATTGAGCTGACAGGTGGTTGATATAAAAAACCCTTATTCAGCTTTATAATGTTTTCACGCATGGTGAACACAAACCACAGTATGAAGTGCTGAGATATTTGCAAAACTCCGGACCACAGGTGTATGCAGTGGGGAACGAACACGCGCTGTTGTCCTTACCGGGGAGCAGCGCACTTCACCACTACACCATCCGGGTCAAACCCGTAGTGTTCTTCTTTTTTCTTGGCTTATTCTCATCTTTAGGACACTTTTAAACTTCTCCATTTTATGCAGTACATTGATTTCGTCTGGAAGGTGGAACCACAATCTCGTGGATTTTCTTGTGGCTAAAAGTAAAAGAAGATTTCCTAACTTAAATTTTCGACTATCGACAGACGAAAAACGAATGATCTTAGGTGAAGAGTGGTGGAGGAAAGCATATCAATCAACAAAAGCTGCAAAATCTCCACCGTTCCATTACTATTCAAGAATCTGATCTCTTTTGTTTGAAACTTTATTAGCACATGATAATGAATACTGTGATGTTTCAGATAATGAATGACTCACATCAAGTACTTGAACTTGAACCGACCACATCTGAAATTATTGAAATGTTCTATCAGATTTCATTCTTTATCATTGGAACTCCAATCAACGTGTACGCGCTTTACAGAACTACAAAGTAGGTGGTTTAACTTTTATTTTTCATCCTTCCCACTATGAATTCGAATCAAAGTGGTGCTTACATGGAGGGTGTAGTTACATACATCGACTGTAGAAGTGATCTGCAGGATGACTTACATTGAAAGAGTATCACGAAGTTTATCAGGGACAAGGAAACAAGGATAACAATTGCCATCAGGTTTCGACTACGTATTACCTTTCCTACCTTACTTCAAAACGGTTTGAATTCTGTATCGCTTCTGCCAACGAAATGTGGTGAACCGTTCTCTACATGGTTGAGACATTGATTCGATAGTTTTTCGTATCCATTCTGATTGTGCAGATATGATTTAGCCAGCGCCGTAAACATCTCTCTCGTTTTAATCCCCCATATCTTTATCTTCTTTCATATCATCTGCGTGCTTCCTCAGATGTTTTTGAAGTTGAACGGTCTTTCCAACAACAAGTTTTGAGTCGGAGCTCTGACCTGACAATAGCCTTTTCTCTTAGTGGTAGAATATGTGCACAGTACAAGCAATGCTCGATCGCCAATGTTACAATACGGGAAATCGTTGACAGGATTGTTGAACAATCTAGAGACATCCCCTCACGACAGGATTCACTAGCTTGTAAACGAGCATGAGTTTGGAAAAGCGAATAAGAAATGACGCAGCTCTATCGCATGTCGGTATGTTCTGGTCCTTGCTGCACCTTATTTTCAATGTTTTGACTAATTCGAGGACCTCACAACGTAATCCAGGCAATGTTGCAAACCTTAGATTGAAGCAGCTGATTGAAAGTGTGGTTACCCCACAGGTCAAGACGACATATTGTTTTTACGATTTTGCAAATTTGAAAGAAAAGGCGCAGATGGGATACTAGTTTTCCACTCTCCGGAGAAGGACAGGCATAATTAAAATGAATGAAAAGACTGCAGACTTCCTAAAAGGTTCAAGAGATCGACCGCTTTGTTTATTGCTTACGCAAAACAGCTGCATTGTGAGCTTTAGTTGAGGTCAATACTTGTGAACGTGTTAACCCACTGGATTGAGCATCTTCTTGGATCGAAAGCACAGAATAGTGGGATCAGTAGAAGTCATGCATCTGGTGGCTATCCATATAGATGAACTGCCTAACTAAATATTTATTTACGTTGGTATTCTCTGAGTGAGAGCGTTTAGTATAAATTTTCCATTATCACGCCTACGATGTCCTTTATTCTTTAGAGCTCCATCGCTAGGTAGAAACAGCCGTGGTATTCAAACAGCGTAGCATATACTTTTACACTGAGTGTTGGCTGAAACGATATTGTGCAACACCTTTATAATCGCTGCTTTGACATTTGTGAGTGGAATATGACTATAGCAGATCTGTGTGGAATTGATGCTCATTATGAAGAATTTCCGCTAATTCTTTAACTTTCCATCAAGAAGCCTAGCTAAGACTAAACCAATACCAGGATCCATCACCGTCGTGGTATCAAATTAGTCGCATGGTCTAATCTCCCTCTGATCCACATGAGCGGCGACTACCTGTAGCGGTGACGATCTGGGCAGCCTTTGGCCTGGCCGTCCTCGGAACTCCAGGAAACAGTGGTTAAGCCAGAAAAACTCCAAAAAATGAGGAATGTGCTGGGGCCCTGAACAACCATTGGGGACGGACCGTCAAAGTATCCAAGTATCCAAGTAATTCCTTAACTTTATATTAGAATAGGTAGACCAATAAGGATCGGTTATTTTGATAACACTTCACCTCTCATTCTATAATTCTTTATAGGCCTCGCCATTTAATTTTTTAACGCATTTATAATCACTGCTTGTATTGCGCTTCTAGCACTAAAACTTTAAAACTGCACTTGAATGCAAATTTATAGCTTTTTAAAATATGGAGTAGTTGATTATACCGGAACACATTGCTCTCTTGTTGAGGACCAAACGGGGACATTGCAGGAATATTCGTGAAGGTGGCGTTGAGTCAAGACTTGTTAAATTGAGTCGTCAACTTCTTATTGCTCATATTATGGTGCTTTTCACTTACGGTGTTTGGCGAAGCTATTGGTTTTATACTATTGTATGGTCACAAGGTTGGTGACTTGCTGATGACAAAATGTACAGTCCGTAAATTCTATGGTCCTCAGGCAATTTGATGTGCAAAATCTTCTCATTCTTTTGCGCCTTGCCGTTTCACTTATGGTCGAATTTAGTTGCAGCAATAGCCGTCGACATGCTCTGTTGTATAACGTGAGTCCTTTGAGCTACTCGAGTTCCTGGTGGATACCAGTAAAATCTGCAACGAGATTTAGATCACCGTTAAGCACGTATAGGATCGGTTCAAGTCGCGTGGATTGGTTGATCGCTCTGGCATGGATTTGTGCCTTCGGATGTGCACTTCCGATGGTGTTCCTTCGTGGGACAATTACAATCTACTCTTTTGAAGAGAAGTCCTTTGAGCAATGCTATCCACTAGTCAACGTACGTATAGGCCATAATATTTATTAACTCCGTTCTTCACTATATGTGACGTTCATTTCGAGGAATTTATTCAAGCCTTATTCTTTTCAGGAAATTAAAACCCTTTGCGAATCGCTGAGCATGAAAGGGCGAAAACATTTAGCTTGCTTGATGAAAACATTACTCGGAATTTCGTTTACTGTCCTAGATGCTCTGTGCAATCGAGAGTAATCGTGACTTGAGATTCTTTTACCAGGGCTACTTTTATTAACCATATAATCCAAAAAAGGATTCAGGAAGGATAGCCTTTCCAAATGGAAATTTGCAGAGCTACAGCAAAGAGGTGTTGGTGGCGTTCAACTTCTTCCACGTAATAACTGTATTCTACATTCCTTTATTAATTGTTGTGGTTTGCTACACCCTGATAGGAATTTCACTAAGAAAACAAATGGCTGAAAGGAAATTACTGCAGGTTTGTTGAGTATTTCACAAGAAGATCTACTGTGGTCTTTCGTCTTTAAGACTTTAGTTTTTTCTTTTCTTGAGGATGGCGGAAAAAAAAGGAAACAATCCAGTACAAAAGCACGATTTCTACGAGCATCATTAGCAGTGATCTGCACTTTCTTCTTCACATGGCTCCCATATCAGGTCGGTTAGCTGGAGCAACATGTCTGCAAGAAACGCAACGAATTTTTTCTTCAGGTACTCGCCCTTCTACGTGTTATTTGCGATGAAAATGCCGTTTGTGAGAGCATAACAGCACGAATTAACTGGCTACAAGCCATTATAATCGCCAGGTGAGTCTGTTCCAACAAATTCTTCCGCCCACATTTACAGGTATGCTCAGAACTCCTGGAAATGAACACTGCTCTTGCGCTCTTGTTCAGTTACACTCATAGTTATTTTAAAAGTACATTTCTATTCATGCAGGCCTTTCAAGAATTCAGACATTTGCTTGACCTTAATAAGTGTTAAAATGTAGGTATCAGTGCCAATTTCGCAACGTGGAATGTGTTTGCCTTCTAGTAAAAGTGTACCTTGCCTTCCAGTTTAGTCGGGTACACTTTCTATTCATCTTCCTATAGGTGGATACAATTGCTTGTCTGTCTACTCTCGCCTAGTTCTCATAATGGTTTTAACTGAATAATAGTCATAGAATCTTCTAATTTTTCTCGATACAGCAAGAGTTCCAGAACGTGAAAGTTTCGCGCAAATGCTGTTGTTTTTGTGTATATTATTTTTCTTATCGTTTTAGTACTTGCATCAATCCATTTCTTTACCGATTCGGCCTCGACCGCAACAAATGCTCGCACAACTACAGTGCAATGGAGACCGGAATATGCAAAGTGACTTCTTCGTCTTCTTAGAAAAATACCGATTGTTAGTGTTTATAGCTAGTATGGGGGCGCGTGTAGCAGCAGTGGTTAAGGATGTCCTGTATACATCGTTCTCAAGTCCCAAGTACACCAAGATTTCCACCCCTATGAGGTCGGAAAATTGATACCAGACTTCTCTGAGAGGATGGAAGTACTAGCCTCATTTATCTGTAGGCCATCGTAGATAATAATCTAGAAGGCTGATATGTGTTTGATCACCTCAAATATCGCTTACTGAAGTCGAATTCATAGAGCCCCCATCTCGGATTGACCAAAACCGAATGTCCTATTCTTTGTTCGCTGTAACCAATCAGTTTTCATCCTTTAGCGCTCACTATTTTCTAAACATTATGAACGGCTAGCAATCTGCAACAAGTATCACAGGTCTACTTCTTAATCTCTCTAGACTCAGCATAGCCTTTGGCTATCCAGGCCTCCTAACCAGACGGGTTCGACAAATGCCAACACTTGTGTTGAAAAACCACTCTTTGATTCACAACGACCGACGACGGCCAGTGGGGAAGAACTGCGTATACCTTAGTAGAGATCGAGAGAAAACTTAAAGATAAGGATGAGGAAGCCTAACTCTTGAAGTGGTTGCCGAACTCACACGTAAATCCGGGAACATTAATTGACCAATGATGCGATACAGTGAGAATGAAGAAAAAGTTCTAGGTTCCGTAAGTTATGTGAATTTCGTTAATATTAAAAAATAAGCAAAATATTTATAGGTGTCCGTGCGAGATGTCGACAAATCTCCGAACACTGATATCTTGGATTCTGTTGGATGCAGTCGAATGCAAGCGTAATGAGTGTGAAGAGGCATTCATGTCGCAGGAACCTTTCCCCTGCTCTTATCTGGCTCAATGAACAATCAATCTTTAAAATATGCCCTTGAGTGTGAATGCTGTTCATTCAGAGTTTCGATAGGGCACATGTGCGAAGGTGCTTGAAATGTCAACTTTGAGTTTCCTCTGATGCATTATGTTGATGGAAGCAGTTGTTTGATTTGGAAGAGATTTCTAAAATTTTTGAACAGCATGAGTTTCGACGATAACAGTTTTGCAGAGTGGGACACGATATTCTACTCGGCCTGTGTACCTTCATGTGGCTTTAGAACGTCCTCATGACAATTCCGTATGTCGCTGTTGCATTCCACGTTGCGTATGTACACAACAAGTGCTGTGCCATTCTGGTAATATCTGCATGACGACAAAACCCAACTCAACTGTTCGAGTACTTTAATATCTCTCTCGTTCTGTTGAATGTTTGAGTGTTCTGATTTCCCTAGACGACGGAAGTTCTGTCCCACATACTCCAACATTTTAGTTGTTATAATAATAAGGAAACACCAATAAGTTACTTGTTGGTTTTTTCCTTGTTATAATATTACTCTAACTTCTCATAATTTACAATCACTCACGAATTTTTGCTATTTAAAAACACGTGTTGAAACAAAGTAACTAAAAAAAATTTTTGATGCTGATTATATCAGAGGTTTCTAAGCGGCCCTGTTAGCCAGCTACATTAATTGGAGCTGTTCAAAGAAAAAATTGGAGCAAGAAAACACATTAAGATACCGTCGTAATCGATTTTTACTTAGCTATGGATGTGGGAAAGAGCGGTGGTTACAGATGTGCTGCAGACACGCGTAGTAGCCGATTCATCCCTCCACGAGTCAGTTAGTTAACCCCTTGGGGTCAACAATTTGGCACCAGACTTATCTGAGAGGGCAAACACACTGACTTGATAAATTCGTACACTAACTCAAATGATTGTCAAATATGCTTTCAATCACCTTTACGTTGTTTAATAGAGTTTGGGACATTCTTTAGATATCCATAGTCGTCTTTTTCCCTGAATACACATGACGTCAAGAATCTAAGTGCTACTTTTCATTGAAATTATAGATGAGAGTAAGCAAGTAAATAAAGCAAGATGATATGAGGTATCTCGTTTTGTCATTTTCCTTTGATATTATGAGGACGGCCGTTGTAATGTCATCTGGTCAGGCCTCTTGTGTGAGCAACATATGATTTTCAGTTTTTTGCGTTTACCCCGCCACAAATCGAACCCTCAGTAATGCCCTGCCACTTCGATCTACTCATGCCTTTTATTCGGATGTGTACTGCATGGTACAGATTATTTAATGTAGAGTGAAAGCAAAGTCCGACGTCGTCATAAACACCACATATCACATGTGTTTTGATGTTTCTCATAAATACCTCTTTACCCAATAATTATCTAGGTGTAAACATTTTTATTATAGTAAACTACAATTGCTTCTTCTCATGAAAAGTGAAAAATATTGGTTCCCTCGGTCTTCGTAACTCGCCTACTCTGCAGCTATGAAGTGAATTCGCACACCGTTAACGTAATATTTTTTCATTTTGTTCGACAACTCTCTTCCAATGTACACAATGAGGTACTTCCTCTATTTACTTCTCTGTCTGTATGGCGAATATCTCGTTCAGTCTATCAAACACTTTGCTTTATTTCCATCCGTACTTTACTTGTCTTCCCTCTAACTCAGATTCGAATTAAAGTTCGTTCAAAAAACTACGCTTCAATATAAACGCTTCGAACTTCATGTTCCTCTTCATGTAACGGTTTATACAAAAATATATAGTGTGGGAGCAATAAAATTGGAAACGACTCATTATTTGTTGTTACATCACGTGGGTGCTCGACGGGTTTTAATGAAGTGAGAGATAGAAATCGTTTTAGTCGATGACATTGCTCGTACTCCTCGACTATATGGTTGCCATACCGCAATGTAAGGTGAAATGGTTCCCACACTTAATGGCAAAGTCGCAGGTGTGCGGTGTTCAAACTCGTTTATTCGATCAACTATAATCGCTCTAACTATGACCGATTAGAAAGAAAAAACGGCCACCGACAACTCACACATCAAATGTCAACGTCTGCTGTGACAACCCGTCAAGGGCCGAATCTGATAGAGTCATCGTCCTTCAATGTTCTGGACGAGAAAGATGACGTGCTACTTTTGAAGTCTCCTGCTGAATCATCGTGCTATGAAACCGCTTGGAACGCTTCTCACTTTCAATACCAACGCTGAGTTAGCAAATTCTAATCCGAAATGTCCCTCTTCGTTTATATCTGCGATGTTTTTCTTGTTTTCTAAACTTAAAATAACGATTTTTTAGCAAAAAGTAAAAGCATTGGACGCGAATGCTATTTAAATAGAAAAACTCTACTTTTTGTCCACGTCTCACTTATAATAACTTCATATGTATCGCTTGTTACTCTTTCACCTAAGTTATTCGGTTGTCCTGTGTAAAAATACCTATGGGTGGCATCACGGGAAAGTTTCGAAGAGAGTTCATTCGTAACTAATCAAATAAAATTTGAGCACCTATATCAAGGAGTTTCATCACATAAACACGCAAAGTAAAAAAGTAGTCCCTTAGAGATTGCTTATACCGACTTTTATCTTATCATTTTGCAATCGAATGACTGCTAATTGGAGATAATCGATGCCATTTACTTTTGGCTTATCCTCGAAAGGTTGCACCATGTGCTGCTCATTCATGTCGCTCTTATTTTACCTCGTTTTCACCATCCTCCTTTAATTGTTCTCATTCATACTAATTTTCTGTGTGTTTTTTGTAATCTGTCACTTTGATGGACGCTCATGGAGTATTCTGGTTAACGCACACAAGCAAACACGTAGCGAACAAGACGAAGCGAGAGTCATGTTGTGCCGGCAGCAATCAGCACGGATCTATTCTTGACCTTTGTCGATGCTGTATGATTAATGAATGCAGTCGTCCGGAATGGGAAGCCATCATCCATCACGCATGTCGTCTGTTCTCTCACTATTCGCTGAATTAAATACTGCGCGCCTTCATTTTAAATCAAACATTTTATTTACAAAAATCATTCTACTACTGTAGCACACTATTTTTTTCTCTAGTTTCATACTTCCAACATTATTTTCCATTTTTCTTTCACCTCTTTTCAGAGTTTTAAACGCAACAACTATTTGTAGATTTTCTCGGCTACTTGGAAGCTCAAAGTGACATTGGTGGTCTAGGATAAAGCTGTAAAATACACAATATAACTATTTCACACTATTTTAAAAAACCCAACAATCAAACGTCGTATGTTGCTTAAAAATTTAAAATTAGTTTCGAGATATAATGGGGTAGCCGTTCACCACATAGTTAAATGTCGAGGGATTTCACTGCGATGATGTGTGAATGCGTGTCTGACACTATTAACGTTCCGTGTCTGACACTATTAACGTTCTATTGAGCTGTAGTGTTGCATATTTCTCCTAGTGTTCGTCTCTCGTTCGAAGAATAAAAAGATCATCCTATGAGCGAGAAATAATGTATACCTACGGAAATTCCGCTTTATTTATTTATTTTTCTTTTTCTTTGTTTTAAACGATCTGTCTTTCGCATCTACTGTGAGGATCCCAGCACTTCTTACATTCATTTCGCTTCCTTTCATATATCACCCATTAAAACCTTCGAACTTTTGTGTGTGGGTTGGACTGTTGCTCGACGATTTTCCTACCTTCCTGAATGTCGTTTTAGTCGAGCCAATTTTCCCTGGAATTCTGAGATATCTGGGGTAGAGCGTTCCCACTAGTACTGCGGGGGGTGAACTCTTCGCAGACAAGTCAGGTGCCCATTTCACAACCACGGTAGGATGAAATGCTTGGTGAGCTGGAAGCAGCATCGTGCTCGTGGCGGTCGGAATCACTACCACTCCGTTATCTCAGTTCCATTAAATTGAGAAACATTCGGTAATCGTGGTCGGTGCAGTCTAAATTCTTATCGTTTAGTTAATTCATGGTGAGCAAAATTGTGTGGGAACAAAAAGGAGATGGCTGCTGTGTACTGGAGAATGGACGCCGAATTGAGTCCGTGAAGGCAAGGTTAGTTGTCTATCATGAGATCTAGTTTTTAAAAAAAACCTGTTCAAAATTTATTTTTAGACCTCAGACAAAATGGTTGAATAATATCCTTGAGGCTAATGGTAATACGCCCCTCAGTAAACTCAATAAAATGCCTCATGAAAGGAAGTTGAAGTGCAATATTTGTGAGTACTAGTTCCATATCTGGTAAATGTGTATGTACTTATACATGTGTGCAAATATGTGTGTGTGTGTGTGTGTGTGTGTGTGTGCGTGTATGTATTTGTGTGTGAATATACGTATATATGAGTTTGTAGCTCATGTATGTGCAGCTTCACATTCATCGTACATGTTTGTCCGTTTTGCCCTTGATTTCGTTGACATAGTAGTTCTTTAAAAAACAATGGCGTAAAGAGAAATAATAGAGTTGATAAGATAACATTGTGCCCACAATGTCGGTGCGAGGCTATAACAAAATATCAAAATCTGTTAGAACTGATATGTATGATAAAAAAACAGTAGTTCTATTGACAGATGTGAAGTTGGAGTATTTCAATGTCGGTGGATCGTTGGAAGACCGTGCTGCAATTCGCATGATTGAGGTACTGTAAACACACACAGTTTTTTCTGTCATATTACATCGTGCTATCTTGTCATGCTTTCATAAAAATATCTATTAGGTAGCAGAGCAAAACGGTTTGACGAAGGAAAACATCGTGCTGGCGCCAGCCAGTGGCAATATTGCTGTCGGTATTGCCCTAGTTTGCGCTGTCAAGGGATACAAGTAAGATGCATAGCTTGTTAGAAATATTAAAGCTCATAGAAATCAAGTTGTTAAAAACACCACTAATGTGAGGAAATAATAACTTTGTTGTAACAAAATGTAATGAGGTAATCATGAGGAATTGTTTAAAAAACGGAAGAAACATGAAAGTAATGGTGAATGAAATGACCAGTCTGAATTCTGAACAACACCACTCAAGTACTTCATGTCGATAGATTTCTCGTGAAAATATGAAAGACCTAACACATTATTGAAAACTGCACAATAGTTGGTTTTAATGTAATTCCCGCCTGGCCGACAATAGACGCTGTGCTCGTCTACCACTGATTGTAGCCGTCGATGAGTACTAAAGAATTTGCACAAGAATTATCCGTCACTCCTTGTTATCTATTTCTACAGTGACCTAGTACTATTCCATTAGCCTGAACAATACGAAAAGATTTTAAATCCTCCATTTCACTTTGTACACAGAGTGACTTTAGCTTTCCACAGTTTGATTAAAAGTTAAGAGACGCGCTCATCGAAATACTTAAATTCTTTTTTGGCATTACCACAGTTCGGAGAACGCGATTCTCATATATTTCTTTCTCAAATGAGCAAATGCAAGAAGCTAACACCTCTTTCCGCGTGCATGTGATTTTGTATGATTTTCTTCTTCCTTTTTCTTATAACTATGACTTATATCTTTATTATCCTGACAGTTTCAACTTTCGTTCATTGCAAAATATTATAAATCCTATTTTCAGATGTGTTATCGTTACTCCTGATCGTTCACCAGGGGATATCTGCAACATCCTTAAAGTTCTTAACGCACAGGCTAGCACTCTTATTTAACAAAGATGAATAATCTGTTGAACAAGTTTCTAAAACCGATTTCTCACTTGTAGGTGGTTCGTGTTAGTGGTAATAAAAACGACGTTCCTAACTCATGCTACGTATACGCCAAAACGCTTGCTGAAAGCATCAAGAATTCCTACTTCCTCGATGAGGTGGTCATTAATTTTCAACTTTATGATATAGTGTTATTCTACTAATATACAAAGATTGTTCGTATAGAGCGTTTCTGGAGCTAATCCTCTTGCACATTATGAAACTACAGCGGCTGAAATCTTCTGTGCACTTGAAAAGAAAGTGAATTTTATCATCTTTATTTTAAAAGCATTATTTGAATAAAAGAATGGGTCTTACTGCTCAAGGTGGATTTGATCGTGGTTCCTATAAGGTCGGGCGCAGCTTTTACAGGGATTGCTAAGTATGTCGAGCAACATCAGCTTAACACCAAGGTTCGTCAACAAGTTGTGATAGAAATACTCTAAAAATGTAGATTGCTGGTCAAAAACGATTCTTTCAGGTTTACGGGGTATGCAGTAATGACTCATTATCCCCTTGTATTCCCGAATTAAGTTCTCGAAACATTCTCTCAGTTGCAGAACTTTCGTGTGGCAGCGGAATTGAAGTTGTTTGCTCAAAAGTTAGTCTATTCCATATTTTCTATTCAAAACATTTAGCAAGGAGTGGTTCAAACACAGTATACTGCTTAAGGAAGCGTTCCTGATGACACGTCGCTTAATCAGAGAAGAAGGATTAATGGTTGGGCCATCGTCTGGAGCTGCGATTCTGGCCGCACTCAAAGTTTGTTTGCGCTTCAACTTTCTTCCTATTTTTTTAAAAGCTCACTTTCAATTTATTTTGTTCTTTCTTTCTGTATCACATTTCCACCTTAGTTCTCACATTGAACTATTCCCTTGTATTTTTTTCATTGGGGAGAGGGTAGCGTCAGTGATGCTTTTGATAAGGAAGCAAAGGCGCTGATTCCAGACCCACCCCAACGCTCTCCTCCAAACTGCGTGGAAACGTCTCAGCCTGCTATCTCCAGGATTTTAAGGAGAATCAACTCGACTATCATTCTACAACATTCGTAAATAAGACAAAATCTTCAAGCAGCATCCGAAATAACGCGCGAGACGTTTGAAGACCATTGTGAAAGATGAGTGCAAGGAAAACGAATCGAACGCAAGAAGTACTGGGATGCGCACAGTGGATATGGTGACGGGTCATACGGGAAAAGATTTTTTCTCATTTAGAAGATAACGCGAGGTCGACAAAAAACTTTATTCGGCTAAAGTTTTAACGCGTTTCCTTTCTTCAGAGCTGGATTGGTGCTAATCGATTGTTCACAGTTGTTCGCTGTTCTTGTGTGTACCTTTGTGATTGCATCAGTTCGCATCTAATGGAGTACCGCCCAAATTAAGTAACCTTAATCGGTAATGCTGTTTTATACAAGACGGTTGTTGATACTGAATATCCGTTTATAATTGCTTGTTTTTCTATGGACACTCCAACCTGCAGCAGTCGGTATCATTATCAGCTAGCTCAGAGTGTAGTAATATCTGAAAGGATAAGGATAAAGAATAAAACTCTCGGTGTTGATCAATCGCTGAGGGATGCACTATGCACTCAGCTTCAATAAGTATCGTTTGAGGTGAATGAATGCAGATATGACCTTTACTGGCGGTAGCCTACCGATGTATCAAGCCAGTGCCGCCATCCTCCCAAACAAGTGTGGAACCAATTTTCCGACCCTGGAGGGATGGAAGTTCTGGTAGGCAAGGGCATGGGGATCGATCTCATATGCGTGCTGCGGTGCGCCTCCGATCATGGTGTTCCATTGAATTCGACTTGATGCGGTCACGTAGACACGTGGAGAAGACGAATGGCCGTGGACAGTCGGGCACCGAAAACTTAGTCGAATGAAGTTGTTCATAAACCTCGTGTTAGTTTATCAATGAGAAAAGTACATGTTCGAATCTTTTACATTTTTGGATATTTCTCTGGCTGCGAAACGTATTCGGAAGCAAAAGATGCTGGAAAGCGCGGTGACTAAATCTCGATTGCCACAATGTACTAATGAATACATGGTACTTTTGGTCGCACGTGACCTGCGATGTTGCTCATTACTGAATTCTATAAACTCGGACTGGGTAGGGAACTAGTTCTTCCTAACACTTTATGGCTGCGATATGATGGCAATATAGAAGCAAAATGTAGCATTGTGGCCGTATTACACATTTTCAAAGCAAATTTCAGCTCGGCGAGTCGTTACCTGGGGAAAGTAATGTTGTTGTGATTGGCGCTGATGGCATCAGAAACTATATGTAAGCTGACTTTACTTATGTCCTTTTATCAGCCTGAAAATTTGTCAACAATGTTACATCTGTTTTTCAGGAATCATTTCATTGATGACGAATGGTTGTACAAGAACAGAATTCTCAACAATCTTGATAAGAAGACATTAGTACCAAAAGAGTAAGTGTTTTCTTATCGCCACCTTTAATGTGTGACCCATTCCTATTTTCGTTCCAGGCAATTCGACCCCAAAGTACTATTATATGATCCCACTACATTGTCCGAGGAATGGAAGCGGGACGAAATTTCAAAGAAGTGGACCATTTGTTCCCAGAAGTTCAAGCCATTCAGGTTTACAGACAATACTTCTACCGGAGTATTTCGTCACTCGCATTCTTGCGTGCTTTCTGATGTCCTCTTTAAAAGCATTTGAGGTTATTTCTAGGACATCTCGTCCAGCTGTCATGGAAAACGTATTGGAAGCCGTCAACAATACTCCTCTTGTAAAGCTTCAAAAACTTCCAGCAGAAAATGGCATTAAGTGCAACATGTGTAAGTGCTTTTTATTCATTACACTAAAAAAATAGATGAAGGTGTGCTTATATCTTTCATTTAATGCTGTTAACACTTACATGACAACATGACCTCTATAGGAACCACACAGTACGAGATATTACCCGCTCTCAACTTTAAGTCAACATACCTCAGCTCATAGCGAATTTTATTAATTTCAAAAAAAATATAAGAAGCGCCTATAGAAAAAAGGAGCGCTTATTTTATCACGATGATATGTTGATTTTCTGGAGCTCGCAACGTATATCTCTTCCAATTTATTGTTTCAAAGCTCATATTTCGAAAATGAAAGCAAATCAACAAGAGCGATTTCGTCGACCAGGACAAGATGGTGTTGTCCAGTGCATCGGTCATTTTTGTAGCTGTCGCTTTTGTTTTGAACATTCTAAACCATGTAAATTTCATTCTCAACTGCTTGAAAGTCTTGATACTTAATATGTTTAAATTTTGAAGAAGTAGTGTGTAAAAGTTACATACGCGTTGAGTGCGTTAAAACAAAGTCTTCTATAATTCTACAAAGTTATGAAATCCTGAATTAGTTTTGATCGAGAAATTATCGTCAGTTATCGGAAAATCCGCTTTGTTACAAAAGGGTTAATAAGTTTGCCTCCAACCGCTACGTTTTCTTTTGCTTTTCAAGTTTATGGTCCAGCCTTTCTTTCGCTGTAAATCATGTTATAAAGAATGATCGTAATCATCCATTAACTAACCAGTTTGATCTAACATTAAGATGAGGACAGGATGCTTTTCCGCATAACTTGTGAGAATTGCACGGGGTAAGTGCCAACTTGATCTTGTAAGAGCTGGAGAAGTGCTTTTCATGAGGGAGAATTCCTGACTACTTATAGGAGATGAAGTTTAATAGCACGATGTTTGGTTCGTACACAGAATGTGAAACAGTTTCTGAGGCATCTTCAGTAGACTGACCATTTGTAGCTACCGTCAAGCAGGAGACAATGTCGATCTCATCACCTCTCTTTCGCCATGAGAATGAGAATACACACTAATTTTCGCAGATTTTGTCGTCGATTTGCTCGTGATCTGGTGGAAGTGCTTAGCTCAACAGTTTTCCAAATGTGCGGCACCACTTCCAATGACACCACGGAAAAACCTCACGACCATTTGGGTTGGTTCTGTGGTCTACTGAGAGTTGCTCTCAGCTAGACAGCGCTATAAGGGACGGCACATCTATACATGTGATAACTTAGTATTTCTCGACCAACCTCACCCGGTGCTCTAGAAGTTTTTTCGCATGCAAGAGCAGCAGCGAAAACGTGCAGTCTGAATCAAGGAAGTGAAAAGTTAGAGCGCTCCACAGGAATGACAAGAACTAGCGAGACGTTGTGGAGTTGTCCACATCGCCATTACTCGGCGATTGATATGCGCGGTTTAAACGGGCAAGCCGCTTCCGCCCACGTGGTGTCCAAAATATCTTCGGAATTCGATGTTTGAATTTTTATAATTTTTGTTCCTTTCCAAGCCGTCACGATTTCATTTGCTATGAAATGCCTTAAGTATCACAGCTAGATACGAGAGCCATTTATCATTTAGGAGTAAAGGTGGAGAATTCACCATATTTAATAAATTACATGTAAAAACAATAAAAGACGTATTGAAAGCACTTTCTTCATTGCCATTGGCGTAAAATTTAATTTTAAACCCTGCAATTAAAATTGAGTAGGAATGGTTCAAAGCTGCGCGTACCAGAGTTCTACGGAATTGCTTTCCATCTCCTCGGTGAACTATTCCGGCGTATAATTTCTGTAACTTTGTGGGAAATTCATAAATAGAGCAAACGTCCCAAAAAGCCGTGACCCAGCACTGTGAGTCAAACCAGCTTTTTGAGCTAGCGCGCCTTGATCATTTTTACCATTTGTCATTTGCTGGCAACTGTATTCGGGTGGTCTCATTGCGTAAGAAGATGGCCGAAAGAAAGACTAGTATTTAGAATCTATTTTAGCGCGGTCGAAATATAGCTTCTAAGCTTTTCGTCAAGGTTATTAAAATATTTCACTCAGCAAGGGAAAGTTAAAAATAGTCGACTTTGAAAGTAAAATTTTATGATTCATATTTACTTTTAAAAAACGAGGCTTGGAAATTTCTCAGTGATTCGAGAGTCTTGCGAGTTCACAACTTAACCTATCCAACGTTTTTATTTCGACACATTTTTCTACTTTTTTTTCACTTTATTTGACCCATCTTCACGTCTACCGTGCAGACCCCAGTGCTTCTCACAGTCAATTCGTGCTCTTGCATCCACTGTCCACGAAGATCTCCCAACTTTTATTTGTGGATTCGGCCGCTGCTTGAGGATTTTCATTTTATCTTGAATACCGTGAAATGCTGGTCGAGCAATTCTCTCCGATGTCCTGAGAAACCCGGGTTGGAGCGTCCATAAAAGGATTGCAAAGAGTGATCTTTTCCAGACAAGTCCAGTACCAATTTCCCGACCCTGGGGGGATGGGAGGCTTGGTTGGCCGGAAGCGGAATCGAACTAGAACCATGCTCTGTGCTGACGGACATCACTACCAATGTATCCGCTTTCTATACATATATATATATATATACAATCTTTTTTTTTACACAACCATCTTCCACATTTACTGTGCGGATCCCAGCGTTTTTTGCATTCGCTTCGTTCCCATGATCCGTCATCGCTGAAAGTATTCCAACTATGTTAAGTTTTCATTCACTGCCTAGAAATGCAACCACAATGATGCTGAGATATTTGCAAAACTGCGGACTGCAGGCGTCTACAGTGGTGTTCGAACTAGGAGTATGTAAAAAACTCCTTGAGAGAATGGCGAAACGAAGGACGCGCATGGTGTGGTGGTGAATGCGTTGGCCCGAAAATGGTAATAGCGTTTTCGTTCACCACCGCAGACACTTGCTGTCCGGAGTTTTCCAAATATCTCAGCATTATTGTGGCTGTAAAAAGATAAAAAGCTCTCGGCGTTGATCAATCCCTGAGGGATGTGCCATGCATTCGACTCCACTACGTATCGTTGAAGGTCATTGAATGCATATCTGGCCATTACAATGATTCGCGGTGGCCTACTGATGTATCGGGCCAGTGCTGCTATCCTCCCAGACAAGTCTGATGCTAATTTGCCAACCCTGCATGGACGGAAGGATTGGTGGGTTATGGGTGCGAGGATCGATTCCACGTGTGTGTCGCAGTAGCAACTCCAACCACCACCCCACACGTCGTGGAAAATTGTACTAGGCAGTAAATAAAAAAACACTGTGATTTCGACTACTGCCTCAGCTTAGCTGAGTTCAATGACGATTTGTGCTTCTCAGATCAACCCCGTTGATGGGTGATTGCTAATGGCACTGGTAGATGGAAAACTAGCCGAGAGAAAGACGAAGCGAAGTTTGTGGTGGTGAGTGCGTAAGTCCCGGGAATAGTAACAGGTTGTTCGATTCTCACCGTGCACTCCGGGCTTTTGCAAATATCTAGTCATTATTGTAATCTCCTTACTTTTTGCATGTGTGTTGGGCTACTGGTTGAGGATTTCCCTTTCGTCATGAAAGACGCTGAGTGATGGTTGAGTCGATTTTTCTTTGTAGTACTGAGGTGGCCGTTGCCAACTGGATTGCAGAGAAGGACCTCCTTTCCAGATAACTCTGGAACCTACTCCACGACTTTGAGAGGATGACAGGCTTTGCTGGTCCATAAGAGATCGAGCCAGCACCATGCCAGTATTGATCGGCATCACTACCACTGCGCCGTCGTACCCATATAAGTAATTTTGAAGCATATTGAAACAACATAAAATCGGAATCTGGTATTGTTAGGAACAATAGATTTTTTTCTACTGGTAATTTTGGAGAGAAATGATTAATGGAAGTATTTCAGATGTTAAATGTGAGTATTTCAATGCTGGCGGTTCGACGAAAGATAGAATAGCACTTCGCATGATTGAACTAGCGGAAGCCGAAGGACGCTTGAAGCCAGGAATGACGTTAATAGAGCCCACTTCTGGAAACACGGGAATCGGGCTGTCATTAGCAGCGGCGGTGAAAGGATATGAGTGAGTTAATGATAGTTTGTGTAGTTTCACCTTTTTGATTACTAGGTGAATATTTTGGCTGAGTGTTGTTCAGTTGCATTATTGTGATGCCAATGAAGATGTCAAGAGAGAAGGCGCTCACGATGGAAGCACTTGGTTCATCTATCGTCAGAACACCGAACGAAGCAGCGTTTGACTCCGCCTATTCCCATATAGGAGTGGCTCTGCGTCTTCGAAACGAAATTCCGGGAGCAATTATCCTCGACCAGGTAGCTACCGAGTTCTGCAACACTAAAGCTTTTTCTACGTTATCAGCGACGAAATACTTTTAAAATAGCTAATCTGCATATTACAGTATCGTAACATTGGAAATCCTTTGGTCCACTACGAACAGACAGCTGAGGAGATCGTCGATGCGCTCGACGGAAATGTTGACTATGTGGTTTGTTGTAAATAGGATTATAGCATTAGAACCGGAATGCCTGAATTTCGAATTAGCATGAATTGACTTAGCTGGTACTTAATTATCACCTGTTTATCACAATTGAATTAGACGAACAATCCGGTTGTTTTTTGTTTCGCAAATTCTAGCCTATTTCTTCTCGATCCACATGTATCACATGGACAGAGACATTAAGTTATTGTGTAACAGGTTGTGGCAGCTGGTACAGGTGGCACCGTTACTGGAATTGCAAAAAAAATCAAAGAAAAAGTGCCGAATTGTGTGGTACGAACACTTCGATATAGCCTCTTAGCGTTTAGGAATTAACACTTTTCGTGATATCAGGTTGTCGGTGTGGATCCAGAGGGTTCAGTGCTCGCTGGTCCCAGCGAGAACGAAACAAGTTTCTACGAAGTGGAGGGCGTTGGATATGATTTCGTGCCAGGAACACTGAACCGATCCGTAGTTGACAAATGGTTGAAGTCCACTGATAAAGTAAGCTATAATAAATGTTACTTATCCAACACATGGACAGCGCTGAAATTCCGACCATGAAATTAAGTGAAATTAAGTAGTTTAATGCAAGTTGGAAATGTAACCGGTAACATGTAAGATCATATTGTTTTGTGTACATTCACTGCTTTGAAAATAATGGAGGATTTCAACTTTAAACCAGTGCACCTCAACCAATACCAAACTATACTAGTTGGCTATTCTTTTTAACGGCAAGGTATTTTGCGAAATATAACCATTACAATGCTGAGATATTTGCAAAACTCCGGACCGCAGGTGTCTGCTGTGGGGAACGAACGCGCTATTGTCCTTTTCGGGGAGTAGCGGATTCACCACCACACCATGCAGGTCCTTCGTTTCGCCTGTCTCTCAGCTAGTTCTATCGAAAAAGATTGATCCCCGAAAAGAACAACAGTGTGTTCGTTCCCCACCGCAGACACCTGCGGTCCGGAGTTTTGCAAATAACTCAGCATTATAATAGTTGTACTAGTTGGAATAAAATCAGCGGATGTTGAGCTACAGATTTCTCTCACATCTTTGTGCCGATGCACGTTTCGTTTCGAATATTGAACCGATTGAACGGGCCGGATTAGGTCCAGCGGGATAGTATTGGAAAATCCCAAACGTTTAGGTCCTTTTTCGATTTTTTGGGAACTTAGAATTTGAACACGTGTGAAATTGACGGCATATTATGTAAAAATTATAAACACGAATAATAAAGATAGGGTGTTGTCTCTTCTTCAACCAGTGAAGTGCTCAACTCAAATCATCACTTTATGGAAAGATTATCATCACTTGTCGGAAAACCACCTTCCGGCATCACAGCTTAAAATGTTTTTGAATTCTCTGACGATTACCAAACATTTTGGAGATTTTGTAGAAACCGTTAAGTTCTGCTCTAACTGTGTTTTACAAATATCGTCGCTTTTGTGCCAGATGAGATTTGTTGAAGTGCAGAGTAGTGGCCAATAGAAGTTTTAAAATAAAAACCAAAATCCAGAATAAATGGCTAATTCTTAGAAGAATTATTACACATTGTTTGTTTTGATTTTCTATAAGTAGGAAATTTTTTATTTAGTATCAGTGGCATCGGTAAACAAGTCCTAATGGTTAAACCATTGATGCATTATTTCCGGAGTCATTCGAGACAGCCCGTGATTTGATCAGCAAAGAAGGAATTCTTTGCGGCGGCTCTTCAGGCTCAAACGTTCGTGCTGCTCTTAAAATCGCTAAGGAACTTCCAGCCGGCAAAAATGTCGTCACCATACTACCAGACGGAATCAGAAATTATTTGTGAGAACACTTTTTCTTAGTTCGGTTTTTCAGCGACTAATAGCATTCAAATACTACTTGCGTTACCTTTACGGTGCTCGCTACATCGCCGGTGTGACGAATTTCGTTTAGGACAAAGTTCATCGATAACGAGTGGATGGCTGTCAGGCGTTTCAACATCAATGAAGAGTTTTAACGACAGCTTTATCACCCATTATCATTGATTCGTTTTCCGACATACTGCGATAGTTTTTTAGTTTCTGACGTTAAAGAAAACAATAATAGATGCAGTCTATGAGAGGTAAGATTCGAATTATGTCTTTAGGAGTGTTTTAAGATGAGCTGCAACCGTATAGATGCTCTTAGACCACTTTCTGGAAAGCTAACAATTGTCCAAATTTTTATAAATATCAATACAAAGTTTAACTCACTGTTTTTATGCATACAATCACGCCCTAGTTCACTGTAGGACTTAAGAACAAGAAATATTTATTCATTGGATTCAATAGCATTGACGTCTACATGGTGTTTGTACAAACTGCGTATTGTCTGATCTCACAGAATTCTTTTCGTTAAGACTCGAAATATTGTTGTTGAAAAAAATGCACTTCGAAAATTTAAACTATGCATCAAAAATATGCCTGAAACGCTAGCTAAATTTAACTTTAAAAAGAGTAATTGTGTAAAAGTTCCCTGTTAACACACAGAGTGCTTGACGTAGTATCATACAATCATAGGGAGACAGGGACGAGTGGCTCATTGTTCTTGTCGTAATTTTTCTTGTAGCCCCAAAAACAACTAAGGGCAGTCACACTCTGTATCTGAGCTCGAATCGCTGGATTATACTTGTAGTAGACAAAAATACGAATTGTTGACGATAACACGAACAGATTTGTTCCCAGGTCACTGGCCAACACGTAAAAAACGTTGAAATTTCCATCCTCATCCTGCAAACAAACTCGGCTAATTTGAATGAAGAAACCAAATTAAACGATACACCTGAGTACAAGGCTGGGGCAACTCCATTTTTTTCATTCAATAAGAAGTTTTCAGATGGCAACTTTTACGAAAATGTTAGCACAAGCGTTAAACAAGGACGTACAAAGCACTCTTATCAAGTACATGGCTTCTCCTTTCAAATGACCTCTTTTTTGACGTTTTCCAGAATTCACTTTTGTTCTCATCCACGCTCTTTCTTTTACTCCTACACTTTTACTTAACGTTTGGTCTCCTCCCTTTAATTAACCAACTTAACTGGATATGTGAGAATTATGTACGCATATATCAAACCTCATCTTTTTCGTGACGATATGCCGAAGACAATGTCTGCTCCATCAAATGAAAGGTTACGATATGATAAACGAGCGTTGGGAAACACTATGGAAAAACAGTGGGAGAGGTAGATAAACGGTCAAATTTATGTTCGCAGCAGCAGTAGCATCACTTGCCAGTGAATCATGTTCTGGTTGAACGCGTCTGAGCTTTTTTTTTACCGGAAAATCTGCCGACCTGTGTGAGGTGTGTGTTGAACATCTCTATGCAGTACAGCACGAAATTCACACTGTTACAAGCCAAGTAGGACGAAATGATGACGATGGTCGTCTTCACCGCGCAGCGAAGACGTTTGTACTCTCGTCGCTCCTCTTCTTCAGCCGCATTTTGTTTTGCCTGTAATTTATTAAAATAAATAGTTTATCAAGCAAAATAAACCCCACCTCCTCCTCACCTCCCCCCCCCCCCCCCCCCCCCCCCCCCCCCTCCTAGTGAGAAGCATGATATCAAAACGCTTGATTTAATTCGCTTAATTGGTGTGGATAACAAGGTTGCTTGAAATAAGGCATACGGGTACTTGCTACATATGGTTAACTATGAGAGCATTATTTTCCCCTTTATTTTTTTCGAGTTTAATAACGATCCCGTATTAGCTTGATAATCTAACGATGTCTTGAGATAGTAAAAGTTTACTCACCTGGGTTCTTCCCTATATACTAGTGTATTATAAAAAATTTCACCTTCTTCTCTCCGTAATTCTAAGGTAAACGAATTGAAAAGTGATTTTTTTAAAAACAAAAGGCGATATTGTTCTACAGCAAAGACTATTGACACTGCTCAATTACAAAAACAAAGAAGAAAAAAGAAAATCGAAACAGTTGAGTCAATATGCCACACCTGGGGCAGCCCCGAAGATCCTATAGGAAGCTGGAATTGAATTTATGCGGATTTCGTTTTTGTTCTAGTGAAGAAGCCTTGTCATTCAGTAACGATAGAAACGAACAGCTTACATAACCTAACCATCTATTACTAGATCGGAAACTATAATCTTACCTTTACAGAACCCTTTAATTAGAAAGAAAAAAACTGACAGTATGCAGAATTGCTGGGCAAGCTGATTGCCTTCTAGCCCGACGATGAGAACTGCGTAATTTGTTCACCACAATACAGTTCAAGACACACAGAATAACAAATGACACGAAGAGATGAAGAAACTACAAAGAAGCGATCTTCACTACAAAAAAAAGAGTTCATAGTGATTGGCGAAATATTGACCTGGATGAATACGTCACTTATTGTGTACATTTTCGCTATCTGAGGATCAACTTCTTTGCCCGATAAGATACGACTCTCGAACAAATCGCAGTTGGGAAGCTTCACCACTTCAATAAAGAAATATCCAGGCAACCGGAGAAATACAACTATTGTAGCAATGATTAACACCGTCATTTGTAGATTTCGGCTGCTGAACAAGAAGTATATACGTATCTACGTGTATCTGTACGTGAACGCTTTTCTTTTAGTAACACGAATTTCGAATGCGGATTTCTAAAAAGAATCTCACCGTATCTGTCGATGATTTCGTTCTATGATAGAGACCAATCGGAAGGCTGTATTAGCAATCAGAATATAGGGAATACACAACTGAACCATCCGACTTGCTATAAGCATGTGCACATTGTACGTTTTCATTGCTAGATACATCCATTCTAGAAAGTTTTTGAGGTGACTCATGACATGATATTGCGGAGATATTGCATTTGGAGTCATGTACCTATCCTGAAAGTCACGGAGAATGTGAGCACACCAAAGCAGGTGATGAACAAAAAACAGAGCATGAAATCGAGGAAAGCAAGGAAAGTCTGAAATGGGTTGCTGGAGCTCCTGGACAGGAAGACAAATAGTAGCAGTAGATTGCAAGCACATCCTACGACAGATATAACACTTCCGAAGCTGAAATAGGTAGTTAAAAACGACAACTCGGAAAGTTTTTTTTCTTACAACCTATAGATGCTAATAGTGCATCTGCCTGCATGTTTCTGTACCCAATTCTCAAATAGTTTGCTTCTTTTTAAAATTGCTTGTGATTACGATTGTCAAAAATAGATGTTGCATTCAAATGGCTGATATTGGTCTAAATTATGTGATGAAGGGTTCTTCGCAGAGAAAAAAGGGACTACGTTCTTGGTTCCAGTCAGAAAGGATTTGAATCAATGTTAGGTGCCGCTGAACAAAGTGGAGTTTGATTTAGAAGTAACTAGAATTTGGACAGCGTCCACGTAGTACAACTACCGAGTGTGATTTATTGCTTCTATAATAAACCACAAAAAGTTCTGCCACAGCGAATATAGACGAATAGTGGTCGTTTTGTATACTTAAAAACGAAGGCGATTGATTAATCTCGAAATTCGCAAGTGGAAAAAACGCATTCATTCCATTAAGATGCATTGAAATTTCGAGTTAGGCTTCGTGTGAGATCGGTTTATGGGGTACTGATGGTTGATATACAGAAACATTTTCATCTATATGTCCTAGGCCAAGGCTCATTTGGACACTGAAAATGGGAAACGTTTGTAGTAATCGCACTACATCGTCGATTTGTAGAGCCAGCAGTCGAACAATGGGTAGGTAATAGCGTAATTGTCGCATAGGAATACAATACAAAGCATTTGCTTAACACGCAATTTTTTCTGACCGTCAAGCTTAATGAGCTTAAGACCAAATGCATGTTCTAGACGATGGAATTCCTGCTTCTCCATTGGCGTTTAGTTTTATCCAATATTATGCGTGCTGATCACTGGGCTAAGACGACAGATAGAATATAGAACTAACCATCTAGTCGCTTATTCTAAAAGCTTTCCTTTTTCCTTAGTAGGATTGGGAGGGGTTCTCTTAAAATGCTATTAAAAGGATCGAGATTTGTCACTTCTCTAGTGTGAATGGAACAACACGTGCTATGTCGTTCCTTAGCATTGTGAGAACTTTGACTAAACAACGAATCAAAAACCCAATGAAATTGCTGGAAGGGAGTTGCGATACACAGCAATTAGGAGCCACAAACAAACTACGACTGTTCTGTTATATTTTGCAAAATGGTCGCATAAAGAAAGCTCTTCATAACCTAAATAATACACGGATGTAGCCTACATAGTTGTGGAAACTACCCCATGGAATGAACAACGGGTTTCTTCATTGTGATTTCTTCAGAAAAAAAGCAGTAGATTGAGACGCTGAAAAACCCTATATCATCTCGGATTCTAAACTGTTGTAGAAGTTGTGATTTGAGAAAAAAAACTACGCTTAGAGCTGTCCCATAATATTCGCAAGTTAATAGTAATAATTTAGCCTATCATAAAATGTTCGGTATTGAATACGCCGCTTCAACTAAGAGAGTATGGGACGACGAAGGGGAAAAAAAAGCGTTATCGGAAAGGTTCTAAATACTTCCAATACTTCATCCTTTCTTTAGACAAAGTAGCAGCTTTATTTGTGGAAAAAAAGGTAAAGCCCGGAGAAGTTCTGGTAAAGCAGCCATTCATATGACTAACAGCACTGAAATATGCATTGAAATTGAGATTATATAGAAGTTGGAACTCATTATCATCATTTTAGCCTGGATTTCTCCTATGCTGAACTACATCATCTCATAAATCTTATAGAAGTCATAGCATGGATTCCAATTAAGGTTTTAACCGTTTTACGGCATAAAAAGTCTAAAGAATCCGTCCATATAAACAAAAATAAGGATTAAAATATTTTTGTAACCGAAAATACTGCTTCATTCCATTGTGGATATCATGTCCAATAGGACACCGAGTGTGCTTCTCGGGGAATAAAAAGAACTCACGTCGTTTATGACTTAAAGCTATCTAAAAAACAACAAGAAAACAAAGAGGAAATAACGTTTTGCGCGCTCCGTTCACTTTTGAAAGCAATCTATTAAAAAGAATGCGAAGCTGACCAAGTATTAAGGAGAACCGGTTAAAAGTAATAGAATAAAGTCCTCAAGAGAGATCATTTGTGAAATTCAACTTTTCCTATTAGCCATAATCCAAGCTATAGATTAAAAACGTTGGAAATATTACCTGGAATATGCTTGAAAAGCTGAGACAATACATGAAAAGTGATAATCATTACGTGAAAAACATTTAGTTACCCGATTTTACAATGAAATGCAAATTTGCCTTATTCAATACAAGTTCAAGCAGATATTAGGTTGTAAGTCATATGTATTTCATAAATTTTCGCATCATTAGAAAAAAAAACATGCAACATTGATGACTAATCTGAGAAAGTCTGACGAAGAACTAACAGTGGAAAACAAAATGAAGATGCTAGAAAAACCTGATGAATGCTAGTCGAAGATTCGGATGGGTATCGACGTCGCATGGACCATCTGTTAAGTTGGAGAGATTCGCCAGTGCCGAATCGTCCATACCTTAAAAGCCTTCGTGTTGCATGAGATGGAACTGCTCATGATTACCTATCTTGAAAAAATATCAGGATCGATATTCTGATGATCACCTGGTTCATTATAGCGATAAGACCTTGACATATTTCAATAGGAAAATTCTCCTTCCAAAATGGAACTTTAGATTTTCAAACAAAGAAAATGCGCACTGCTGGCTAAATATGTTTATTTCAATTTATTACTATTAAAATTATTAAAGTAAATAGCAAGGTGATTTCATCAGGATAGTTAAGCATTGTAAATAAAGAAGCATTGCACACCAGACACGCACTGCACTTGACCCTCAAATGCATACCGCTCCCAAAATTTGAAATAATCAGAAAGTTAAACGAAGCGCAGAAAGAAGTCAAGTCTCCTTCTGTGGAGCAGTTATTTGTCAGTGGATGGATATGTTGAGATTCCGATTGGTTACTACGTGGTTACAAGTGAATAGAGGACTCATTTATTGCCTTATGATTAAAATCTAATAATCACATTAACCATGCTCGTTTAATTAAGAGCCGAATTCTGGAATAAGACTGAGAAATACAGTTAAGACACCAAAAAAGAGTTAAAAGTAAAATCAAGGAACGAATGCTTTAAATATTTCGTGGAAAATCACGTATTTATAAATAGATCTTAAGCCATCGAATACACACTTACAAAGACATGACAACAACTCGTGACCTTGCTAGCAATCCTTTACTAATCCCACAACTGACAACATAAGACGAGCTTGAAAGTACTAACTCAGATGGGAGTTGTGATTAAACCAACCAGTTTCGCAAGAAAATATTCTAACCTTCGTGGAATTCAGCGGAACTCTTTTTATTAACAGAAGTGTCCATGGATCTGGTCCAGTTCTTGGATCGAGATCCACAAACCCTTAAAATCAAGCCTATAATTGAAATGGAATGTGGCATTGACAGAAATTTGGGCGTACCTCGACAAACTAACAATTAAAGACATAATGCATTTATTCCATGTCGAGGGGAACGATGTGGATCTGGAGATTAAAGAAGTAGGCATCGCAAAGCTTTAATGCGGAGTTATGAGTCAAGATAAAATTCTTCCCGGGATCGACTTTCTATTAACCTCCGAATTTGATTATAAATTCGCCGTTTTATTTCTAAGCAATCGCGAGGTTGTTAAAACAGCATACGTTTGCTTCCATACAATAACACACAACACAACCGTAGCTGACGTTTCGGCAGAATCGCCTTCTTCAGAGCCGCTTTTTCACCTGTCTTCCACAAAGGAAGGACGACTGCTGAGACTTACGACTGACGACCCAACCATATGCGACTCTGAGTGGATGTTCTTCCTCGGTGGAAGACAAGTGAAGAAAGCGGCTCTGAAGAAGGCGATTCTGCGGAAACCTCAGCTACGGTTGTGTTGTATGCTATGGTATGCAAGATGAAATTCAAGGAAAACTAGCAAAAACATAGAAAGTTGAAACTATATTCCAGGAAATATCCTCATATAACTAAAGTTAATTATAGCATTTTGGTATGGATTAATGAACGATAGATATGCGAGAAAAATAGTCACTTTGCGAAAATTAGTTACAGACCGTCGTTGGTTATTGAATTCATAACCGAGGCTGGCAGTGGTTCCACTCACAAGTCGGTCCAACTAAGCCCTCAAAACGCATAACGACGCAGAAATCCGTGAGGCAGCATCACATAGGTGTAGACTGCATTTGTATTATCCTGACTAATCTTTCGCAAAATCTGGATGATCTAAGTTCTATAAGTCATAATTGTGGTCAAACGACGACAACGTTGTCTTTGCTACACAAGATTTGTTACCCACTTTGCCTTCACACTTCATAGTCTAATATCGGTGAATGCAATGGTACACCTGTGTACAACTATATACATTCCTATTCAATCTGTATTATTTACATCTCCTTATTGACCGAGGAATAGAAACTTCTTGTACGGGTAAAATGGGCTGAGTAATCAAAAATAAATCACTGAACGTTTCGTTGAAAGAAAAGGAACCAAGATGTTAACGAGGACGGCATTTGATATGCCCAAATCAGGTTACGTTCCCAAGAAAATCGGTGGAAATTCTTGCTTGCTTAAAATGAAGATAGAGCTGTAGATTTAAACGAAACCAGCAACGACTTGATGCTCAGCTATAATGATCCACGAGGGCGGGGTCTGAAACACTTTGCCTCCGCCTCATTCTAAGCGGTGTCATCTCCATACAAGTGAACCAAAGTAGAGCGACGTCTTATTTCGTCGTGCATGCAAAGGTTCCATCATATATTGGCCAATCGCGATTAAGTTGCTAGCAACAGTTGATAAGACCCGTCGTACTACAGAGTCACGCATCTGTGGCAAACTACTATAAACTTTAATAAGACCTATTGGTTGCTCGACTTTTGAAAATAGCAATAATAACTTTGGATCTAGTAAATTCTGCGGAGTACGCAAAAAGTATCAACTATAAGGCTTAGAAATCTGAATAGGAATTCGAGCTGCGCAAAACGCGGCCAAGAAGTCATGCAGTGGTGTTATTACGTTATAATATCCTTAGTTCACGTAGATAAACATTTGCAAGGGCATGCCTAGACGGATCTCCCAAATTTCAGGTTTCAACCATATCATTTTCAAATCACGACCTTTTCACAATGTTTCCCGAAGCTTCTCCAGAAACAAACATTCGAACTGTTTATTTCAACACGAACAAACAAGATTAGCTTTTGCAAGGCATCATAGCATGGATAAAAAATTAGGACAACGTTGAAAGAACTATACAAAATACAACTGGATTTCTCCCAACATAATAAGCTAATGGTGTGTTCAAATCAACAAACTACACTGCTTACAATGGCTTCGGCATGTCTGGCGGTTTGAGAACAATCATCTGAACGCTGGAGAATTATGGACGTAATGAATCCTGTACCACATAATGTATTCATTTTATTTTACACGGCTTTATATCCAGTTCACTGGTCGTTACTTAACGTTTTAATATCGCAAGCTATCTGTACACACTTCTCATTTGGTTCACATCTCAAAACTACCAATAGATTTTTCGCCTTCGTGAAAACTAAGCAATGCCATATCAATTGTTCAGGAGATTAAATTCGAATCTTCTGAACCACTTCAACACTTCTCTTCCACATTACTCTGTAGTCGAAGGAACGACAAAGTGGAGTCTAGCACATGGATGCTAATCAAATTTCGACAGCATCGCCATTGCTAAAGGAATTTTCATTCGAGATGGAATATAGGGTGGTAAGAGCATACACCAAAATAACGAACAACTTTGTGCCCACCTTTCATGCACTCTGCAGACAGCGTAACAGTGCATTTGATGATGCTCAAATATTCATGTACTAACGCTTGGCAGCAATAGAATAGAAAGTACCGCGAACTCACTTGCTAGTAAAGAGACACTACGTAAGCACAGCACAAAAAATAATGTTTACTTAAAATGGACATTGTACACCAAACATAATAGTTTTGAAACAGGAGATGATAAAATTAAGGGCGGACGAAGCGAAGCTCAAAACGATGAAAAGAAATGCACTAGAACGTAAATTCAATAGCACATTAGTAAGCGATAGCACCGAAGCACTAAAGAATCACTTTGTGCATAAGCATGACGCTTTTAACTCACTTAAAAACTACATGTAATAATCTGCATATCAACTACGACAGCAGCATCAAAAAAAGTAAACATGACACTAAATGCCAAAAGGTCTCATGCAGCATTACTATCTTTACGACACCGGAACGATTCAAATTAAGGGCAAAAACAATATCTAAACAAAGACGGAAGTAACATTTAGTGAATGAGCGTGACCATGAAATGCTTCGGCGCTAAATCGTTTGCGTTTCCAAGACCGACCCATTATTATGGCGAAATTGAATAAATGATGTAAAATTCAATTTATGACAATACGAACACATACAAAGAAGAAAAATCTATAAGAAAGTTATTACTAGGTGTATTGTTCACCGGAATAACTCAATGAAGTGCTGGAATGATCAGTCACAAAAAATGGACAACACGCATTATATTACATATATTTCGATATATAGTAACATACATATATACTAAACAACCTTCAAAAGATAAAACGAAATTCCACTAGCACCTTGTCTCATAAAGACCGCTGCGGCCGATGTATCGTACCCATTTAATGACGTCATGATCAGAATAATTCAGCTTTGGTTCAAAAACTTTCAAATAGCGCACTTTTAGGCCCGATGGAGCGAATGGAACCTAAGAAATGGCAAAATGAAGCACTAGTGAAGATGAACAAAACAACGAAAATAAAAATGAAAACAACAGAAAACCTCAAAGTTCATGCTAACAGGTGGACGATTCCACTTCTTTTTTTCAGAACCTGTCGATAGAAGATCAATTTCTGCCGAGATTTGACTTTCTTTCATGCCTCCCATTCGTTTAATTCTATATTGAAATCAATGTCAGAAAAAGTAAACGTGCCTCAAAAACTCACAAAAAATACCAATTCTTACTCACTTCCAAACTATTGCGTTTTCGCCTGCCTTATATTTTGCCTTCCCTTTCATGCAAATCAACTGAACCCCAGACGTGTTCGGTGGTGTTGGGATACGAACTTCGATCTTCTGCGCCAATAACGACGGTTTGAAATTCGATTTTACCACTACCTATCCAACCAGATGATGTATAACTACTACAGATTGAAACGTAAAATTTCATAGAACTAATAACCTTGACTTCCATTTTGTTTCTAGATACTTCTCTGACTAATGGAATAACACGAAATGGAAGTTGAATGTCCTTTGTGGTTCGATACCTGAAAGTCTCGCAGTCTGCAAGAGAATTCAGAAATAGCACAGATCAACAAACTTGCGATTTAGACAGTAGACTTAGGTAGCAAAGTTGTCACGAAATTTCAAGATAAAATTGGCGCACAATGGTTACGATTTACAGGAACTGTAGCATTAAGAAAATTACTAACACCTTAATAATAGCATTTTACTCCCTTCCTATTGAAAAATTAACATACCTTATTTTAAATATGCATATCTCAACTCAACGTTAACTTATCAAAAGAAATGAAAACCGTTATAATCCACAGATCGTTGCCTACAAGCTGAAACGTTGCCTTTACTTCACAACGGGAAAAGGCCGAATTTTTTTTTGGAGTACTGTTTTCTATCGAGGATGCTCAAAGAGTGAAGTGATTGGGAAATCTGGATTTTGTAGAACACGGTAGGAACCTCAATGCATCTTTGGCGCTACGGCTGCTCCGCCTCCTCACTTCATAAAATTCCAATTACACAGTTACTCGAAAGACAGGATATAGCCCTTCTATGAGGCAATAAAGTTTTAACTGCTCAAATCTTCATATCGGGAAATCAACAGCGGGTGTTATATATTAGGATAAACGATAGTACTGCTCTTGTAGGCTACCTCATCAGCTCATACTCTCCATCAGGAGGAATGAAAGAAATAGCATGTTCGGTGTCAAACTTTGTAAGCTTAACACATTGATGGAACTGACAGTCATCTATAGCCACGGAAGCTCGTGCACTAAACAGAATGCGATAAGTACTTACAAGCCAAGTCTATTTCAATGATCAGTACCAGAGCGAAGAAGGCACTGGTAATTGTTACAAACAGCGAAACTTATACTGATGAAACAAAAAACCACTTACGACTTATTTGGATCATCACCGCCAGTTTTACCCTTGCCATCAATTGTAATCTTATCATTGATTCCAAATTTACACTCAGGCATTCCACTTAGATACGACTTCATTGCAACTTTCCCAGCAACATGAGCAGAAAGCACCTGTCCTGAAATATCGAGAAAAATGAGCATTTAAAGGTAAAGGATACATGAGAAAGACAAATTCAGCAGCTTGAGTGAAATCTATTTTAAAAATTTGGTATATCCTTATTGTAACTGTTTAAATACATACGGCGTTGAAACACATTCAAGATACATAAATATACTTCATTGTAACCGATTAATCCACATCAACATTCTTACAATTTTTGGACATTAACCAACAAAATAAAGCAATGAGAGAGGAATTAAAGATAGAGTTAGAAAAAAAGATGTTCCAAATGCATTTGACACAAATATGAGGGAGTACAAATATGTACACAACAAAAGGCGAAAAAGTGCATCCTTCAAAAACGTAAATTTGAAACGGTTACCTTGAACAGTTGCAAAAAAACGGTAAATTATTATCGAAACTTCGAACTTGGTTTCGTTATCTAAGAGGTATCACATCCGTGTCTGGAATAGCTATACGGGGAGGGGTAATCCAAGTGTCCGGATTTCTTGGCAGTTCGAAAATGCTACCCACTTTGTCTAAATGTTAATGTTATCGTCGGAACTATTATAACCAATACAGTTCGAAATAGCAAGCATCAAGGAGAGCCCTAACTTTTTTCTTGAAGAATATCTATGGACCCAGTGGATCGTTAACCACACCACCTGATAAACAGGAATCCTTCGATCGAATTGAAACGAATCACAAGAATTCTTACCTCGGATAAGGAACAAATTTCGGTGAAAAAGGCTTCATCAAAAAAAGAGAAGAAATCAATTCAAAACGTTCTAAATATTCCACTTTCCTAAATTTGAACTAGTGAAATGTACAATGTAGAACCATGTGAGTATACAGTGTTTCAAGAACAGCTCACCAGAACAGATTATATTCACATAGTGAAACTGAATGAAGTCTTAACCGTTTTATTTACTCTCTACTGCTTTTAATGGCATGATATATTGGAAAACATAACTTCAACGATGCTGAGATAGTTCCCAGGATCGACTTTCTCTTAACCTCGGCATTGGAATATGAATGTGTCGTTTTCATGTTCAGCAATCGCGAGGTTTTTAAACAGCATACATTTACTTCCATAGAAAAACACAATACAATACAACACTAGTTGACGTTTCGGTAGTATCGCCTTCTTCAGAGCCGCTTTTTCGTCAACCATATGCGACTATAATCAGTTGTTCTAAACTTCCTCATTGGAAGTCACGAAAAAAGCGGCTCTGAAGAAGGCGATACTGCCGAAACGTCAGCTAGCGTTGTATTGTATTGTGTTTTTATGGAAGTAGATGCTGAGATACTTGTAAAACTCCTGACCGTAGGTGTCTGCGGTGGGCAAAGAACGCGCTATTGTCCTTTCCGGGGAGTAACGCGTTCACCACCACATCATGCGGGTCCTTTGTTTCGCCTCTCTCAGCTAGTTCTATCGATCTTTTGCCATCAGCGGCATTGATCTGGGGAGTCTAAATCGGCAATGAACCCAGCTAAGTTGAGGCTTTAGTGATAATCACAATCTTAACCGTTTTATTTACTGCTTGCTGTTTTTAATGGCAGGATATATTGCTAAATATAACTTCAACGATGCTGAGTTTTACAAATATCTCAGCATCGTTGAAGTTGAATAAAGTCCCTTGAGAATACAAGACGCTTACGAGTCCTTTCGTCGACTTAAAAACTAACTTATTTGAGGAAGAATTAATCATGGACGCTTTGAACAGAATGAATTAGTGCTCAGTACGCAAAGAACTCTCATGATCTTTAGGCCCGATTTTCCCTTTCGTTTTACAGAACAAACATCAGATGTTGTGTGGATCCTACTAATTTTTGCATTTGATTCGCTTCCTCGTATCCTTATTTCACGAAAATCCTTGGATTTTGCCAGTTACAGGATCAAGATGATGAACTCCGACACCTAGACGGAACAGTAACAACGTCCAGAAAGGAAACAGAGAAGATCATTCACGAACACCACTCAGATCTCTTCAGCAGGCACATTCTCCTTCCCTTACACGCGATAAAGTAGGATGGACATGTTGTCCCACCGGTTCTCTCTTCCGAAATCCGACATGCTCTTTCGTCGGTGAAGAATCGAGCAGCATTAGGTCTAAAAGGATAAGATCTGAACACCTGAGGAACCTTCCGCCAGCCCTCATTAACACATTGGCTCTGCTCTATACGCGATGGCTGTCAGAATGCAACGTTTCTATTCAATGGAAAACCAGCAAGACTGTGTTATTGACGAAGGGTGACCCACGCGATATTAGCAATTATCGCCCACTCTGCTTGTTGTCTCTGTCGTCCACAAATTTTTCACTCGAGCCATCCTAAACTGGTCTGACAGAACATTGCATGAAAGACAGCCACATGACGAAGGAGTGTTTCGAAAAGTATCCACTACGATGGACTACATACAAACAGAAATAAAACTCAATGAAGTATCTCGAGGGTACAAGAGACAGCATTGTCTCATTATTAAAATTAAATTAAAATCGATGGTCGTCAATGACGTCATCCTCGCTTTGCTGATGGTATCGTTCTTATAACAGTATAACAGTAAGAATTAGTCGGGCGGAACGAATGTTTTCCGACTATGATAGTACCTGTGAAAAAATGATCTACGAGGACCCCCAACCATGTTCGTGAGCGAAGGATTGGTTTCGTAAGCAACATCCATGCTCAACGAAACGAATATCTCGAAATGCTCCAGATACGTCTGTCTAGGTCAGGAAATCAATATGATGAACGACTAAGTTCCTATGTTGAGAAGGGAACGAGAAGCTTGGAGAGCTTCCAAGAACGTCGAGGATGTGGCGAAGGGAACAAGGAACACCCGACTTCGTGCCTACTTTCCGACTCCATGATTCTCCCTGCCTTAGCAAACGATTCAGAAACCTTGTCGCTATGTAAGCACAATGAAAAATCACCTAGCGTTATTGAAATCCCAGTGGAAAGGACGATGCTAGGAGTACTTATGTCACACAAGTGAGTGATGGGAAGCTCCGATCTACGTCAGCGATTTGAAATCAAGGACGCCATTCTTTAAGCTAATTTGACGGAAATAAGATTGGCTGAACATGTAATTCGTATAAACGATAACAAGAGCCAATAGACTACCACCGGCCCGATGGTCGAAGTTCTTCACGAAAACCATGGAAGAACGATATGGTGCCTTAACCCTTGAGCAAGCAGAACCCACTGGACTACTCTTGCGTGCGACAGAGAGAAATAGATGATTTACCGGCAGCAACTCGCGTTACTCCACGAACAACGGAACGGCAGGTTATACAGGTGATGTACATTCGGACATTCAAGATTTACCAGTAATCTAAACATCTAAGAATAATCTCTTGCTAGTAGTAGTGGTAGTGTAACCATATAATCGTTCAGCACACATGAAAACACACCACACATGCAGTAATGTATAGGAATCTTTTCAGTGGTCAAGCGTCATAGCTTGAACAGTATTCGATTCGCAACAAAAATCTAAGTACTGTGGAACAAAATTCTAGGTAAAAACAGGAAGTGATCTTTTTAAAACTAGAACTGAAGAATATGTCACCTTGTTGACTCATAAGAAGATTCACATATTCGATTACATCGAGGAAAAGCTCGTTTCGCCTGTATTTGATGCCCTCACGTCTCCATCCTATCTGCCCAGTAACTTGTGATGTTATCTGCGATTGTTCCTCTTTCGTCTGAATAATTGCAGAGATTATTCTGAGACTGGCCAAATTCCGCATCATGAACAGCAATCACAATAAGACTCGATCTCAAAGCAAACTTTGGTACTAAGCTCTAGTGCTATATTTTAGTGCGATTTACATAGAATACTAATCACATGAATGCAAATAAATACCGTGTAGCATATTACGATGGTAAACTCACGAAAAATTGGCCTCTGATTTACCGTGTCTTGCGCCAGTGCAAAAATAATAGCCATTTAAGTCGTTAAGAATACTATGGATCCATTTTGTAATAAACACTTCGTGTTCTTGCTGCTGCTGTGCACCATTCCAAGTTTTCTTTTTACTTTCGTAATTGTAAAACTTTTGGTAGCTTTTCCAACAAAATGAATTTAGACAAGCCAGGATAACTCTGTCGTAGCAAAGAAAAAGGACAACTTTGCCCCATAAGTTTACACTGAAAGTGGTTTTGCCTCGAAATCAAAACTCGAAATGTGAAGAAGGTGAAATGTCCTTACGAATGTCAAGAAGGCAATTTCGAAAGTAGATTGGGAAACGTTTCGAAAAAGAAAAATTTTCCTCCAAAAGACGTGCCTTGTGTGGAATAAGGTCGAAGGTTCACATCAGCAGTTGACGACAATCGGCCTCACAAAAAATAGTAATAATAAAACAACGACAGTCATAATGACAATAATAATGGAAGCGACTATCTAAAAACTAGTTGAGGTGCTAAAGAAGAAAACAGCGTTCAATATTCGAAAATCGTTCGTTATTTAGAGGATAAAAGAAGGGTGGAAATTTCGCTAGATGTGCGCCACACACTACGAAGTTCGACCTATATCTCGATCTATGGCGTACTGACGTCATGAAATTTATCATACAAAAATCACCTATATCTTGATTGTAATGTAAAATGCGATGAAAAAGAGATTCTGTATAACAACCAATGAGATTGAACACAGTGGTCGCAACAACATAAAGTTCCTAAACAATTTCCAAAACCGAATTTGTATCAAAAGGCGATGGTAAGTTTATAAGGTCCTAAATGTGGAAACAACCACCAAAAGTTCTTGAATCCTGGAGAAATGGTCATAAAACAGAAGTTCATGAAATCGAAAAAAAAAGTGTAGGAAATTGCAGTGCATACACCCATCACTAGTCAATATTAAAGGCCCGCTTCCCTTAGTGGGACAGTGCTCAATCAGACGTTGCACAAATAACGCTGCAAAAGCGGAACAATTTGGGTTACGAAACTTTCCCCTGCCATCATATTCATATCCCACGCCAATCCAATTACCGCTTCTGCCACATATTTCAACAACTACTAGCTAGGGAAATCATCAATAAACGAGGTGTTAAAAGCAGCCTCGAAGAATTCTTCTCCAGAATTTCGGGATTCTAGGCGACGAAAACTTACTGTGCTTGCAAAATGGTAATGATGTTTCACATATTGACCAATAAAATTAAGTTCAGGTGAAGAAATAGAATTTAAGCTCCCATTCAAAGGTTGTCATTCTTCTACCAACAGTACTTTGAACCTCTAATGCAACGTAACAAAACTTTTGCAAAGTGCTAACTCATTTAAGGGACCATGAGTCAATTACACAAGAAGCTACGTAGCCAACTACCATGTTACGCGCAATGTGTTGATTACAGAGCAATAACGATGACGGCTCTAGGAATAAAGTGGCTTAAGGTAATCATTTCCCTACCTTAGCAGGGCCGATTCAACTCAACACCTATTATGTATACGTAACTATGATCACATATGACTATATACATCTGCATCTATGCGAATTCCATCATTTACTTCGACTAGGAAAAATTATTCCATCAACGTACTACCAGAACAGACGATTCGGTGTCAAAAGGACTATAAATGAAACGAGTGAATAGATTTCATGTATCCCATTCTACCCTTTAAATTACGTGATATTATTAAGTGGGCAATACGGTACGGACAAGGTTATGAAGTGATATAAAGAGACAAATACAAACGTCTCAGCACATCACAACACACTGAAAACTCACCACAGGTACATTTGCATCCTAGAGAAGTGCACAATGAAAACGAGAAACAAATTTTCGTTGCGGTTTACAGCACGAATAAACCTTACCGCAGTGCGAACACCTTGCTGAGTGATAAACGTCTTCAGCACTCCAGGATCAGTATTCTGCGGATAACCGAAGTCTAGAATTTCTGTAACGAACACGCTTTAAAAGTACTTAAGAGGACATGAAAGTGCAACAACGATCATGGCTATGATACTCAATGAAAAACAAACCGTCTAGAAGCTCATAAATCAAGACAAAGTTGTTCTTGACGTTCTCCTCATTCAGCTTTCCAAAATATGATTGCATTGTATCAGCAAACCTATTCAAGAACTGCAAAGAATATGTCTTCTTTAGCTGCACAATAAAAAGTTATCACATGATTAAAAACCAGTAATTCATCCCTTAACCTCAAAAATGGGTGATAGTACAACATAAATATGGCTCTGTGACTCCCATAAGCTGTATGATAATAAGGAACAAATCATAAAAAAAGGCAGATTAAAGTTCCTGTTATAGAATAAATGGAGAGACAGCCTATAATCATACTCAAAGAATGTTTTTCTGATCCACCCAACGGTTTACCGCCTCATCGTGACTGGGAGGTGTTCCTGGCGGTCGGGCTGCGATGTACAGGGGTGGATTCATCCCCTGAAAGTCTCCTAAGCAGAGAATGAGTCCGGCGTTTCCATCAGGAAGCCGAGGTAAGAGTACTAGGACCAAACCAATACCACAATCCACCACCGTCCTGGTATCAAATTAGTCGCATGGTGGTAAACCTCTCTCCAATAGAAAAGGAGGACGACTGCCTGTGGTGGTGAGCACCTGGGGCAGACTTTGGCCTGGCTGATCACGGGACTCCAGAGAACCATAATGGCTAAACCAGCAAAACTCCAAAAGAAGTGGAAGTTTTGTTGGAGCACACACAACCAGTGAAGATGGGCTATCCAAGTAACTAAGTAGTAAAACAGGATACGATTTTAATAAAAGAAATAAGGATTTAGGAAAGGCAGTCTTGCCTAATTTTCTGCGAAGACAGTACTAAGATCTAAAATTACGTGCCTATTTACACGTTATTCAATAGCTAGCATACCTCAAAAACCATTGCAGCATTGACATTCTGTCGCGTTACCGCACAGATCCACACATTACCCCTCTTGACATGAAAAAATGACGTGCGAGCCATATTTGTCACCGGAGTTCGGACCTAACTAGGAAAGTGAATAACCTAGTGCGGTAATGTGAGCAATTCGTCATTTCACCAAAATAAGCAGGTTATTAAAAAACATTTATATCCTGTACAAAATGTCCACTAAGCATGGGATGTTCCACCCTCAAGCTTCGTCAGAAACGCAGAAAGAGAGCGCAAGAAAGAACAAACTTCGTGCAAAGGCCTAACTGATAGGTGACAGAAAGGCAAAAACTAGGAACATAGAAACAAGGCAAGGACAAAGCTTGAGGTGATAGAAAAAGGAAACATTAAAGCTTCTTCCCGACACTTTGGGAAGTAATTTCAACTAAAAAAAAATTATAAATCTAAGGATTACCTGCTGTCTAGCATGGATAACATTGACTCTGAATGCGTCGACTGCATTCCGCCTGAAATTTCCTCCACGCTATAGATCGTCGAATACAAGGTAGTTCTTAAATCACTTACGTGACATCATCTCGATATATGCGAGAGATCAGTACTTCACCTTTGTGATTGTACACGAACAGGCCGCCAATCATGGCTGGCCTATCGTTCACCCAAAGATTTGTACAGAACTGAAACAGTACCAAATAAGGCGCTGGAATGAAGTAAGAGCGAAAAAATTAATGATCTCAAGAACGAAATCACAGATCGAGCACGTTGATAGCAAACGACGAGGCGTTCGGTGTTGACCAGTGTCCGATGTATTGATCATCATGTATTCCATTCCATCAACCACTATAGAGGTAACCGAAAGCATATCTGGGCTATACAGCAACTCATGATGATCTGCCAATGAATCAAGTCAGTGTATGTATCTTCACAGACAACTCCAATACCAATTCGATGACCTCGGAGAGATGGACCGCTCGGTGAAACCGAGGCAGAGGACCGAACCAGCAATCCCGATCCAGGGTATATTGTAAGGCACCTCTTAGCACATGGGTACACGAGCCCCTCCAGCTGAGGCTTACTAGGCAGTTAAAAACACCGGAAACAAGACAAAATTCCTGAGCAAGACCTACTCAACGAACGCTGTTATTTGCACCGTAAAGGCTCCAAAGAGCAAAGATCATATGCAGCCAATATTTTCAAAATATGGCGGACATGAATGGTTAGAACAGTTGCCGAACACCTTTACAACCACCACAGAACCATACGAAACGAGGCCTCTGAGGGAGAACGGAGTCATGGACCGTCCTATGATGGTGGGGGACCTTCGTCACAAATCCGACGCACGAAGACCAGGAGCGGCAGACCGCGTCGCAGCCGGCACGCGGCCGGCACGCAGCGCGGCTCGCATCGCTGCGGCCGACATAGTCGTGACCTCGGCGCAGCTGATGTTCCGCGATTCGTGGCTGGTCGTCGGCGCTTTCGTCGTTCTCGTATTTCTCGTGATTCAGGGGAGTGCTCCAGATGCACTGACTGAGATTCGACGTCGACCTCGTTCGATCTTCGTCAGATCCGATTTGACGTATTGATCGACCGGTGCAGTTCAGAGATCGCGACGTTTGACGACAGGAGAGCTTTACGGCTTCCTCTGTCCCACGTGATAACGAATAACGCACAGCGCTATGACCCTGATTTCTTAATACGACGGTGGTGCTTGACCCTTGAAGAGAAAACTGCCTCACTGTCAACGGCAGTTCTGACTCCTTGTCTAGGCCCTAGCTCTCTCTTTGTATTATTGGACAAAGTCATCCAATATCCACAACGCTGGTTCTACTACTCTCTAACATGTCTCCCCTTAGCAAAGCACTTCAGTATGTTCAGATTGCACGGAACATTGTTGCTGTTTATGCGTGTTGACGTTTACTTGTGTTTCCGGTTTTTCTAAAATTGGAATACTTCCCTGATAAGTTTAGCGAAGTTCCTTTCCAAGATTGGTTTACCTTAACTATACAAATATCATAGAAATATTGGTCATGTTTACCATAACTGATGAAAAGGTCTCGCTAAAGGTCATCCATTTTATCTATTAGTGGGGGTTTCACGTTGCTGACCCCGTTTCTGAAGTTGGGCTTGTGAAAAATCGCTCATGAATTTCTATATGGACATCAACATAGTTGTATGTCGACTTTCTTATCTATAATAGGTATCTATCAATTCGCGCTTTTCTTCCTATGTTGTCATGACAACTAACAAATTGGTTTCAATCCCTTAATGATTTAGTTCATCAGTTATATTTAAGTGCATTTAAAGTTTCGTCTACTGCCTACCATAAGCAAGATGCACCCAAATTGCGAGCAAAGATTTAATGATTCTAAATTTTCACACGTTGTTGTGACAATTGTAGGAGTGTTCTTGAAGGACTTAGTCTTCCGTGTACTTTCTTGAATAGTACCCGATTTGGTAATTTTCAATGGTCTTTTGCTTCCACCGTAATTTGTTACTCCATAAAATCGATTCGACCAAAAAATGGCCGCCTGTCGGCCTTTTCTAAAAGAACATTTTCCGAGATCCGAAAGCTGGGGGTCTTCCGTATTTACGTATTCAGCCAGCAACGTAAACAGTTTTGCTGGAGACTTTGAGCGATGGACTGAGAAGGGGAGGTACATTGCGGAGTCTGGCGGCATCGCTGCCTCACGGTTTAGCATTTTTCCAATGGTTACTTAGTGCTGCAGTTTGAAACAGAAGTACAAAAACCTCTGCATAGTATTACGGCCAGCTACATCGTTATTGTTTAGAGCGTTTTTCATTTTCGTCCAATGAAATTCGTTCCAGATGTTGTCACTGCGGAAACTTATGAATAAGCCGCGACCGGACGATTGGTCTCCTCTCGCGAAGTTCTTCTATGCAGACGAAGCACTGAATTGCATTGGTTCGTTTTAAGTGAGATATCTGAAAGAGAAAAACCGATGGCACATAGTATGCGGTCGCGAGCACTTGTGAGTTGTGTTCCATTTCAGCTCTTGAACTCGATTCATTCGATGGTCGTCGCGATCCAGAGAGGTGTAACGCGCTTGTAAATAAACTCCGAATTTCTCAGGATAGGGTTCTTCATATAATAGGTAGGTAGACTTTCCTTTTCTTCTCTTTCATAGTTTGTAAAGTTTTTGCTCTGATTTGGAATATTTAAAGGTGAGATGCTTGCAATTGTATATCCACGTGAATCTGACCGTGCGTGTCGAGATTTTCGAGTCAAATTTCCGGATGAGATTATCCATGACAGCTTACCTGGGCAGCTATGGTTTGGAGCCGAGGTGACTTTATTTCGTTTATAACTATGCAGGTATCTTAGAGAAAATGTTCCATTTTATTACTCCAACGTTGTATCTTACCTTCGGGGATTTTTATTTCGTTCACTCTCACCTCGACGGAACTGTCATGGACCGAATTGCTTGTTGATTTTGGTTTTGATATCAGTAGTTCATATGCTGCCATTCATTTCGAGAAGTATTTGCCCACATTTTCCCACTCCTTTCACCTATTATGTTTGTGAGTATACTGAAAGAAGCTCTCGAACATTATCAAATTTCTCAGCAACTTCTAATGGAAATACATGGATACTGGGATGCCCCCTCATCACTGATTGTGCGGACTGTAACATAATTTCTATTTTTTCGGAGTTTTGCTGATATAGCCAAATGGAAATAGCAAGAAAAATGACATAGTAGAAGGGATTTCTTAGAGGACAACATGGTTTTATACATCAGTGATATTTTCGTGAAAGTGCTGAAACAAACATTTTACGTTATTTCGTACGGTGTTTCCTTGGGAAAAAGACCTACTTGGCAAAGAAAGAGTAAGAGTTAAGTTATCAAAATTGAATCTATATCTCCTTTACAATCCTTTGCTACTAACGCGAGTTAGTTTTTATTAACAAAGTATTAGTAATAGTTTCACTCCTTTCTTGAAACGGTATTTCTTTTCGCTTTGGTGGTAAATTCTGTTCGTCCGTGAGCTTTAGCAATTTCCTACATTATTGGTTAGATGATACATTTTTAATTCTCATAATTTGTCCATCTTTTTTGTAGTGTCTGGCGGCTGGATCCAGCATTATTGACCATGAATCCGAATCCGATGCCATTCGCCCACTTGCTAAGGAACTTACACGCCATCTCGATTCGCTTCGAGATCTTCTTAAGGTGTTGCTTTTTTGGATGGTTTTATTTTGGCTAGTATTGTCTCCCGTACATCATTGAAGGATCAATCACTGCGTGATCCACTAATCTACACGGATGCTATCAAAGAGAGCTTACTGAAGTTCGACCACTTGTTTGCAGCATTTGAATTTCAGTAAGTTGTTTATAAAGTTTTTTTTCTATCGTCATCGAACAACATAAATGTCTCTTTGACGCTCAATCAGAAACATCCCCATCTTTTCTCGTGATATTCTATCTATTCCTATACATCGTTCGTCGCTGTACTCTTATATTCCTGTAGGAAGGAATTAGAACAGCTTAGTTTGCCCAGGCCTTGATTCGATCCTGCCCTGGGCCCAGATAGACTCTCATCGCAATAGAGTCGGTAAATATTTACCAAACTTGTCTAAGACAGTTTCACTCCTTGCACTCCACGTGAGAATGCTGCAGAATGGCTATCATAGTATCCTAGGGAAAGTCGACTTGACCTGCATTTTACAACATTTATGAAGAAGAGGAAATCCTCAGGCAGCAACCGAAGCCAAACACGAAAAAAAGTTCGAAGAACTTCGTAGATGGCGAGTAATATTAAGTAGTACGACGTAACACCATTGCTACCTGCTCTCCTGTTGATCCCACAGTGATGTCTATCACCTTTGTTTACTGACATAAGGGAGAGCTTCGGTCTTATTCTGTCAATCTTTTGATATAGAATATTGCCACACAAATCTCAATAACACATTCGACACTGCTGGTACTCAAGTAGCGTGTAGGTTTCCGGAAAATTTCAATTTATTTTCAACTGATGACCAGTCATTCCACATACTCTCTCGAAATTCACCAACATTTGCTTGTATTTAGTCCTTGACTGTATAGGAACGATATCGTTAGCAAGTCGACTGCGAAATAGCTATCGACCAATGGCTTTCAGATTCCGTTTTGTTATCTTTCAGTATGCGTTCTAAGTTGTTGAAAATTGGGATGTATAATTTCGGAAAGATGGTATAGTCTTGTCGAATCAAACTTCCTAATTCCTTTCATTTATTCATAGACGGCTTCATAGTTTTTTTTTTTGTAAAAGTGTTATTCATAGTTCATAAATGATGTTGGCAATAAGCAGAGACGTGATGGCCCTTTAGAACTTCCATGACCAAAGCCATCTCAATTGAGCGGTAAACATTTATCAAAACGACCTGCTCATGGGCTGCTATACTGAACCATTTTTAAAGCTACTTTTGCTACCACCGCTCCTTTCCATCAGTGTTTTTTTTTCATTCCCGTTAAGGACGAGTTGCGTAAAAAGCGAATGGAAGACAGCGCAAGGTACATTTTGCGGTAGTTAACGATATCGTGTTTATCTTCTTTTTTGCACAAAAGAAATCATTTTTCTGGTTTTTCACTGACTGTTAGCCTTGATTTGCAGGAGTTGAAATGTGAAAACTTAAAGCAGCGTGTAGTTGAAGAAGGTTGACGATAAGTTCTTTAGACGTTTGGTCCATTTGTTTTCAAGCTGGTTATTTTAGACCATGATTTGCCACATTTAGTGGGTAGAACATTGAAACTATAGAACTTCATACCGGGTTTTTCGGTAAGGTAGCTGTTTGTCGAACGTTACCAGAGAGCATTCTTCACGTGCATTATATGAATTATTTGATATTATGAACAGAATAAGGTGGTAAACGAGAACAACTTATGTCTCATTGGTTTCATCTGCAGATATGTGTCAGCAATGGTACCTGTGAAGTCAGTCAAAGAACATGAAGCTCAGCTGGATGTGGCTGTCCTTTTCTCTGATGCTCTCGAACGTGCATTAGCACAACGGCTTATAGTCCAAGAACAGATTGATTCATTCGATCCTATTATTATGATATGCATACCACGACTTGCGATCGTTTGGTAAGCTTCATTTAATCTTCCATTGCTTTACATTTTCTACATTGTTACTGCTGTTTTATTCTTAACCTACCTTCAGGGGGCTTATTTATTATCCAGAAGGAGCACTTAATGTCGATGGACCTCAAGAAAACATTTCCGAAATGTTTCGACCTTACTATTCACTACTGAGCAAGATTCGCAATCTTCTACTTGCTCTTTCTCCGAGTGAATTGCTTAAGGTGCTAATCCTTTTGTGACATCATTGGAGGATTTTCTGACCTTCTTCGATTTTGCATGTGGTTCTTTCAGGTCGAAAAGATTCTGTGTACTGGTGAAACTCAGTTGGGAGAGGAGAAGAATGCCCTCACTATGACGGCCTTCCGCAATAATGTAGAGTCCAACGACGGTCGTATTCGCAGACCTCTTTCCAATTTACAACTGAAAAATTGCCATTGTGATGAGAATAACTATGGATCAGGGACTGCTGTGGAAAAACATGAGGATATGGATGTGCTTGCTAACTGTATACCAACTAGTGACAAACGGTATGGAAATATAAATGGCAATTACAAAAGTGAAGTACAAAATGAGTTGAACGCTGCGGAACAGATGTATACATCAGGAACAAATGAACACCGGGAATATGGGACGGAGTGCTGTTTTGATCATACATGGTAGGTATTCGCACGTAGTCTTTTTTACTTTGCTGCGTTTTCCTAAAATGTAATTCAAAATTCGTAGTTTCAGTATATCACCTAGCGCATATGAACTACGCTCCAAGTTTCAATCTTCGGACGACCTCATCCACAGGTGTTTACCCAAGCATCTTTTTTTTTGCCAATGTAGCAATCGTTGTGAAGGTGTTTCTAGGTTATTTGTTTGCATTTCTGGAGTTGCCGATCAGCTTCAAACGAATTATTCTAGTGAAGTGCGCAAAGTTTTAAAGTTGATTCTTCAACCAAATGAGTCAATACCCGTATACGAGGTCAGTGTTTTTAATTCAATCAATAAGTATTGGGTTAGTTTTTGAGAAAAAGGAACTAGAAGGTTTATGAATATTGAGGAGTAAGATATTGATTCATCTTGTTTTTGTCATGGTCTAAATCCGCCAGCTATTTGCTTTCATATATCTTTTCTTTGTATTTCCTGTGAAATTATACTAGTTAGTTCAAGTGCTTTGAAAAATTCAAAGCGTTTTCATAAACTTGGTGGGTGTTATGTGTGTTTCCTCTGTGCTCAGTTCTGTAGCTGAAGTTTTGAGACCACTTTCCATTCTGAGGATTTTTCCTTGAATCTGAATGAGCAAACAGGTTTAAATATCGAAGGATTTATGCTTTTTCAGAAATTTCGGAGACTAAATGTGAATTTCCTTTCAGTCTTCAATTATTGCGATGTTCTAGGTCAATGGTCAAACCGCAACAAATGCAGAAAATGAGGAGGAGACTGGAGTTGAGGTGCAGGAAACACTTCCTCTACCAGCGTTTGTTGGTGGGTTCCCAACTTTTTTGGGTAACCCGTGCAATTTCTTGACGATTACGCTATGCACAAATTGCAATGCCTACTATTTTTGTCTAGTAGCAGTAACATTCATTTTCAAAGTTTCATGGATGTAACGCATTGTATATTGACTCCCGTATTTTCCGTCTGACAGGCGTTCGTTGGGTTCCTGACGAGGACTGCGAACAGTGTACTGCTTGTTCGGCTCCATTCTCTGTTGTTCGAAGACGTCATCATTGTCGAAATTGTGGGCGGATATTTTGTAACAAGTGCAGCAGAAACAGCATATGCATTCCAGAACTGGGCTACGATCGTAGGGTAAGTAATGAACACTTTCGTATTTATTGGTCCTAACAACCCTGGTTAGGGGGCGGATAGCACAGTAGTAGTGATGTCCGTAATCACGAGCATGATTCTAGTTCGATTCCGCCCCGGGGCAACCAAACCTGTCATCCCTCAGGGGTCGGGAAATTGGTACCAGACTTGTCTGGGGAAAAAATCACTCTCTGCAATCCAAATGGGAACGCTCTAGCCCGGCTATCTTAGAACTCCAGGAAGAAGTCCTCGACCAGCACTCAAGATGAAATGAAAATCCTCAAGCTGCAACCGAAGCCACACGTGAAGTTGGAAGATCGTCGTGGACCATGGATGCCAGGAAACGAATTGGATGTGAGAAATGCTGGGATTCGCACAGTAGACGTGAATAAGGGTTATATGAAATACAAAGTAAAAAAAAACGCTGGTTTGATTTTAGGATTATCACTACGTTTGCACGTAGCAACGTACCCATAGTCTCAATAACATTTTATGCATAAAGTTTGTATTGGTAGCCTGACAGTGTTTTACCACAATTGGCAGTTATTCACAGAAAATACAGAAAATGGTTTCTCCAAATACTTTCAGATGTCTGGGCATTCCATCAATATCGCACTTTTAGGTACGCGTCTGCAATCTTTGCTTTCTACATAAAATGAACCCGTTTGGTAATTGTATTCCTGGATCACAGTCGTCATCAACCGAGGTTCATGCGAATCCGACTCCTCAAAGTTAGCTGAAATGAGGACCAGGTCGCGAGCTGTATAAAATCTCTCAGGGTCGTGATTGTCATTACTAACATTTTTGTTTCATAGAATATTCTTATTTGTACTCATATCATCACTAGATCACAATGTCCTTATTTTTTTAACTTGGATTTTTTTAGCGGATTTGTGGCTCTCTTAACGTTGAAGTTGTCCCGTAATTACCTCTTTCGGTTCATGCGGTTCTGCATTCATGCTTTCCACAATATTTTTCCTATCACTTCTACTCAATACTAATCGCATATATCTCGATTACTGACAGAAGATTTGGAGTTGTCTCTTTTTTTATTCTATTGTATTTTCACAACATTGCATTCCGTACGTTTCCTACCGTTCTGATTAGGTATTGCGAAGTATTGCTTTGAGGATCAAACCGATTGGCGAAGCGTTTTGATACGATCGACACATCATCAGTGATATATTCACTTGTCACGGGAACGTTTCTAGTGCAGAGCTACCAAATATGGGCACGAATCGATGCACATCTGTGGTACATCATTCTGTATATTTTCATCCATTTTTTCACCACATTGATATTGTATTTCCAAGACTGCGGTGTTTCATCCTCGATGATAGAGATTTTATGTGAACGGCTCTCAGCTGCTATTCGGTGTTTTCGCCTTGTGTTGTACGTTGTTAATTTGTAAAATGAATTTGTAACGAATTTAAGATCATTGCAGATTTAGTGATTTGCATAGAAAAGTGCCTGCCAATAGTGTGTTAGTGCTTTTTTCATGTATAAATGAATTGAAGTGTACAAAAGCAGCATAGAGTGGAATTTGCTGAAGAAGTGTATAATGAAAAAAACTTTTTATTCAGTACCATACTTTATCAAGATCTATATATATATATATATATATATATGTATATATATATATATATATATATATATATATAGTAGTATTGAATTTTCATCTTTTTTTATTTCAGAGAAGAATTGGACGTTGTGATTTCAACTACAGCCTCAGCTTAACTATGTTCCCTGCCGATGTGAGTTTCCTAGATCAGTTCTGTCGGCGGGTGATTGCCGATGGTACTGATCGATAGAATTGGCGGAGAGAGGCGAAACGAGAGACCCGTATGGTGTGGTGGTGAACGCGTTAGCTCTGGGAACGGTAATATTGCGTTCGTTCCCCACCACAGACACCTGCGGTCCGGAGTTTTGCAAATATCTCGGCATCGCTATGTATATAATGTTCTACAGCGTGCTTATTCACTAGTTCGAGTTATCTCATGCTTCATGTTTGGCCTAATTTGCTAGTAGAAAAACGGAGGCTACAGCGCGATGTTTTTGAGTTCCCACCACTATGGATTGTTACTCTTGCTGGAATAAAGTTCGTGGTTATTTTATTTATTTCCTCAACTGGGAGGAAGAATGCATGAAGTAGTTGGATATGGATGTCTGAACGCACTCAGCTAGATGGAAGAAATGTGCGTTCGATAGTTGCAACAGATATTAAACATTGTACTGTGTTTAATATTTTGCAGAAATCTTTGGATAAAAATAAACGGTCATTTGGAATTTCACAGTATAACTTTACCAATGTTTCTGGTGGAAGGGGATAGTGTAGTGATTGGTGATCCTGTGAATAATGAAGCAAAGGCACTAGTACTCCATCCCCAGCGCACTCCTCTAGTCCATGGAACGCCAAAGGTCGGTTATCTCCGCGAATCCAAGGAGCATCGACTCGACCAACATTACGACGTTCATAAAAGAAGAAAATCTCTAGTCGCAGACCAAATAACACGCGAAATATTAGTCGAATGCAAGAATGGCTAGGATCCACACAGTAGATCTGAAGAACAGGCATGTAAAAAGTAAAAAACAAATGTTTCTGAATGCTAAAGTATCCACCAAATGCATAGTCAGCTGTATTATTCAAGGAAGAGGTTTGTAAAAGTTTTTGACTTTTGCACGATTTTCATCAGTGACTTCGAAGCGATGGATGACGCTAAGATATAAAAATCATGTAAGATGTTCACATTTAGACTCAGGGCAAATGGAATGGGACAAAGAGTGTGTGTGGCTGCTTGAGTTCACCATGGTGACAACCACTCAAAGAAACTACAATTTTAAAATCTTTCATCTCATTGAAAGATCGTTGTGTCCCATTTTGCATGAACCGACATCATATGCGCAGATCCCTGAGCTTCTTGCATTAGATTTCTTTCCTCGAATCCAAAATTCACTAAGTTATTTGCACGAGTGTTTGGCTGCTGCTTTAGGATTTTTCTTCTTTTTCAGAAATGTCGCTGAATTTTGGCGGAATCATTTATCTCTGGAATCCTGAGATAAGCAGTGCGGAGGAGTTGCTAGTTCTTCATAACATGCCGTCGCCACTTCTTGGGAATTTGAAAAAGCTATCTGGTCCCGAAGTCTGCTATCAATTTTCCGACTCCAGAGAAATGGCAGACTTGTTGATTTTATGGCGGTGTTGAACCAGAGCACCACTCGCACCAAACGGTGTCACTACCACTGTGCGGCCCTTTCCTGCCTCGAACATCATCTGCATCACCAATAGTCTCATCGATTGTCGAGTGACTTGAGCAAGAGCCAATAAATTTTCCATTTCTCCCTGTCGCGTGCAAGAGTTGCCCAGTGGGTTCTGCTCGTTCTATGGATTCGTTGAGCATCATATCTTTCTTTTAGGCTCTTCGTGAAAAACGCTCACCATTGGGTCGATAATCTTCCTGCAGTGTGTTTGACATCCATCCAGTCACCAACGGCTCTTTCCCATCGGTTGTCGCTCATATTTATGTATCCGACCCACAATATCTTCGACAGTTTGGGGTACAGAACGACGTCTTTGATTTTCGATCGCTGACGTAGATCGTAGTTTACCATCTCTTCATTCCCTTGTGTGATACGTGATACTTCTAGCATCGTCCTTTCGACTGCGCGTTCAATTACGCTGAGCGATTCTTCATTTCGCTTAAGCAGCGACCAAGTTTCTGAGAAGTTGAAAAGGTGTGGACGGCGTTGGGTGTTCTTTGCTTTCCTCCTAACATCTTCGATGCTGTTGAAAGCTCCACAAGCCTTTCGTTTCATCCTAATCAACTCTGGAGCTATCGAAGATATTAATTCCCCAGAGCATGAGTGGGACATGCGAAACCAATTCGTTCCTCACGAACATCGTTTCTGTGAGATTTATTCTAAAACCAGTTTTTCCACAGGCTTTATCAAAGTCGGCTAGCATTCGTTCCGCTTGGTTAATGTTATAATTGGTACTATATGAACAATGTCATCAGCAAAGCGATGATGGTGATGATATTCTCGGTGGTGGCGGCAAATAATTTAGCCAGATAGTATCGCCTTGCCTAACCTCTGTTTTGACGGCGATGTTAATATCGTTGTAGAATGGTAACATTTTCATTGTCAAATTTCTATATAGCTCGTGAAAAAAACTTTGTTTACTGAGTAGAGATGGCCTTTCTATCCAGAGATTCCATAACTGCTTGTATCTCAATTGGGTGAAAGACCTTCTTTAAATCGATGAAAGTGAGACAGGGTGTCTTTTGCACTCTCGCGACACTACAATAAGTCTTCTTATCGCGCGCATGTGGTCCATCGAACTGAATCCTCGAAACCGCGCTCGCTAACATGGTTGTATTTCGTGCAGCGTTCTGTAGATCCTGTTTAGGATGTTTAGGATAGGACTCGAGTGAAAAATTTGTAGACTATAGATAGTAGGCAGATTGACCAATAGTTGCCGATATTTTGTTGGTCTTCCATTTAAAAGCAGCCTTTATACTGACAGATAACGTGTGAAGAGCCTAAAGATCTTCTTTTGCCACCGTTCTGCAATGTTTTTCATGTTTGAACGTGAGTCGGTGATTGCTTGCTTCTCGTGCGACTCCAAGTGGCGTATCAGTTCGAGTGTTTCTGAAGACAAGCGTCTCTTAGTAATTTTCGCGCTCTCAGCTTTGACAGTGACAACTTGAACACATTAAATGAGCCGACCGTATCCCTCGTCGATGTTAACAAGAACGGAATCTTACGAACAGCCTACTAATGAGCTGGATAAATCCCAATTTGTAGACTTTCCTAACTTGCAGTAACTGCCACGACCGACTTTCTATTAACCTCGGCATTGATCAAGTGATTTTCTTCGTATTTTTGTTCAGCAAACGCGAGGTGTTATTATTCTTTGTTCACGATTAAGCTGACGTTTCGGCGGATTTCGCCTTCTTCAGAGCCTGGAAAGGTCAAGTTGATAGCAACTCACTCGGCCAGACGCCTCCATAACCAAACAAAGAAACTCCAAACCAAGATTTCAATCACTTTGAACACAGCTTTGCACACTCACCGCTTTCTATGAGGTTTCCACTAAGTATGTCACGTAGAGACCAACCCGATAAAATCGTAGGCCTCCAAACGACAACTCTAGCGATAGAAGGGTCCCGTTTATCCTACCCTTCATCTCAAATGATATAAGTACAGCTATAAAACGCTGCTTAAGAAGGGCGGGCTTAGAGAATTCGGTGAGCGTAGTTGAAATACCACCGAGTAATCTTAAGCGCCAGCTAGTTCGTAACCGCCTATATGACCGTCTATGTGCNGCTCGGGTGTAGTTTATCTGATCTCCTGTAAGGCGTGCGGAGACGAATACATTGACGTAACGGGCAAACCCCTCTGTGTCAGCATAAAGGAACACCTAGCCGGCAAACATAGACCAAATACCCCGCTAGTCACGCATAGGACCCAGAGACATAACGGGGAGGACTTTGAAGTATGTGTCACGATCCTCGCACACGAATCAAGAACACACGTGCAAAAAACTCTCTAGGCATTCTGNGGTAGAGACGGTGATTGCATGAGCTCGGGTGTAGTTTATCTGATCTCCTGTAAGGCGTGCGGAGACGAATACATTGACGTAACGGGCAAACCCCTCTGTGTCAGCATAAAGGAACACCTAGCCGGCAAACATAGACCAAATACCCCGCTAGTCACGCATAGGACCCAGAGACATAACGGGGAGGACTTTGAAGTATGTGTCACGATCCTCGCACACGAATCAAGAACACACGTGCAAAAAACTCTCTAGGCATTCTGGATTAATTCCAGAAATCCGAAAATGAACCGCAGGGAAGAATGCCTCATTATCAAGCGTGATATAGGGCAGTATATAAGACTGCTATTCTGATGGGAGGGGCACATTATACTTCTACGATTTCTGTGCGGTTGGTCTCTACGTGACATACTTAGTGGAAACCTCATAGAAAGCGGTGAGTGTGCAAAGCTGTGTTCAAAGTGACTGAAATCTTGGTTTGGAGTTTCTTTGTTTGGTTATGGAGGCGTCTGGCCGAGTGAGTTGCTATCAACTTGACCTTTCCAGTTTCCTAACTTGGTTTTTTGAATTCCACAGCTCTTTCTCCTCCGCAGGAAACGAAATCATGCACGAAAGAGATGGTCTGATGACGCGCAGAATTTTGGGACAACAGCGACATCGGTTAGATGAAACCTTCGATTTACTATGATATGTTCTATTTTGACACCGTTGAGAGTGGCGCTTCTGGAACTGCCAGTTACCTTCAACGGTCTTGGTCGTTGTGAAAATATGGACAGCCGCTCATCTTGTTCGTTCTATTCTAATCCGTGGGTCCCAATATGACGTTTTTTAGATGTTCATTTTAGTCCAATCTTGGCGTTGAAATCTCCAATGATGAGCTTGAAGAATGTGTGGTCTTCTCTGTAGAACTTCTCCCAGTGCATATAGAACGCTTCAAATTCTTCTTCGTCATATTCGATGTCGGTGCGTAAACGACGAAGATTGTCAAAGCCGGACTTGATCCACATCTTTTTAATCGTAGAGGTTCGATTCGGGTTGTCAGTTGTTCGAATTAATCGATGTACATGGACAAACTCGTGTTGACGAGAACGCCGACGCCGCCGACTCCTCTACTGTCGCATGTTCCGTGAAACAGTTGTTCTCCGGTCTCATAGATGGTGTTGGATAGGTGGCGTCGTCTCGTTTCGGCCAGGCCGATGACGTCGTACCTTATCCTTCTTGTTTGCATGAGCATGCCTTCCATCGAGGACTCGGATGCAAGTGGACGTGCATTGTAGATATAGACCGTCACCTTAGTTCTTTGAGATCCAGGTAGCTTCCATTGGCCATGAGATTTTAGCAGCCTCTCCGTGTTCGTCCTACCCAACGCTGCGAAATTGGGGCTCTTTCGAGGTCAGTGGAATGATGACCTTTTATTTTAAAACTATGTTTAGCATTTTGATACCTATGTATAGCTTTCTTGGCTCTGAACGTGGAGGCTGGCTATACTCACGGGTAGCTTGCCAGGCTCTACCAGAGTGGACATAGAGCTTATTTGTTGGAGGCGGCTCCTTACCGCCTCTCATTTACTTCCCTCTCACTTGATTGCAGGCTTTTGGCCGAATTGACTCAAGGAATACAATCCACATAAGCGAGAACGCACCCATACGAGCATGCATGGATACGCCTAGCATATACAGAAAGTATGTGCCAAATCGGCGCAGCAGAAACGGCGAGTCCATACCCTGAATCCACCTGCGTCTCAGGGAAGCAAAGGTCGATTTTTCCCATGATTAACCCCCTATACGACACCTAGGGACGTAGCACGCTGTCTCCCGACTAACCGGCTCGAGATTCCTCTGTGAAGAAGGTCAGTAGCCTCAAAAATAGCACTCTGAAAGTGAAGAAGTTTGCATTAGCAAGAAAACTGTCGAAGGACTTCTGGGTGTACACTAGCGAAGAGCTGAGCAATCTCTACGTAGCAGCCTACTTTACGTTAGAACGTGTAATGCTGGACTTTGAAGAGACTCAAGCCGCTACTTCGTAAATTGCGGATCTTTGGTTTTGAAAAGATTGTCTTAAATTGGGAGGTATTAATTGACAACCTTAATATCCGCTTGTTAATTGACCGTCTCCATACGACTTCGGCCACTTTTCCGATGATGCTATTGCTTAATGTTGAAATTTATTCCTTATCTAAGATGAATTTCAATTCTCATCCGCACTTTTTTTCTTCTATGCTCCAGTCTCGTTTAACAATAACTACCGCTACATGTATTTTTCGCGTAATTCCGTAGCAATGCTTCGTAACTATGGAGAGCTATGCCTCTTGACGCCTCGAGAGTCGATAACTTGAAAAAATATGGTTCGTCTTCGACTTTCTAGAACAGGTTTTGGATAGACATTCAGCATCAGCGGCTGTGTCCATGGAAATCTGATAAACGCATGAGAGGGAAAACTCACTTTAGAGTTTCCAACTTTGATTTTTATATAATAAGGTTATCTCGGTACCAATTTACTGTAAGCAGTTGGGTGAACCAGGGGATTGGATGCGATGAGATTTTTTGTATAGCTCCAAATGTTCCATGGATATTTCGAGAGCAAACAGTGGAAATATTGAGAAACTCGGAAACTCCGGTGGGCTTCCAACCACCGCCTACCCTTTCCGGGGCTCAGTTATTATCCAATGTGCAACTGAGGTCCTCGCTTTGGCTTTCTCTTAGGCAGTTTTTCACCATAACGGCGCTGTTAGCAACTATCCTGTCAATGGGAATGACCTGGAGAGCGCAAATCGGCATTGAATCCAGTTGTGCTGCACCTGCAGTGGAAATCACAATGTCTAGCTTTTATTTAATGCCTACTCTATTTTCATGGCATGACATTTAGTGAAACAGAATAGACTTCAGTGGCACAATGGGTAGTGCGTGAGCTACTGGGAAGGTAGTCGAGTGTTCGAAGCCAGCCTGAGGTCTCAGCTTTGAAAATATTCCAGCACCACCACTGTGGTTGTATTTCACACAGTACCATCCCGCCAGAAAAGTAGTAAACATTAAATAAGAAGTTAAAGGAGTACTTGTTCAAAATCGACTGGGTTTCATACAGGTTTCCTTTGAACAACATAAGCATCTGCTATGGAATGAAGAGAATTTTGCCTGTATTAGATATATAAAGGAAAAAAGGATAAAGCTCTTGACGTTGATCAGTCCCAGAGGGATCTGCTATGCATTCAACTTCATTACGCATCGTCAGAGGTGACTGAATTCGTACATGGCCTACAAAATGACTCGCGGTGGCCTACCGACTTATCGAGCTTGCTATCCCCTCAGACATGTCTGGTATCAATTTGCTCATTTTGCTTACCATGGAGTGATGGAAGGCATAGTGAGCCTAGGCGGGAATCGATCCTATGTGTATTGCAGGACGCCCCTGACCACTAAAGCGGCCGAAGTCCTATGAGAACGGTGAACAACGCTCTATTCTTGAGTATTGCACTCCGAAATGCCTCAATGGGTCCCTCTCAGCAAAGCGCGTGGTATGGTGCCTAGCAGGTTTCTTCGTTCAAGGACATTGTGAAGAACCCTACTTCCCTTGTGGATCCCTGCCTAATATGCGCATGACATCCTGTTAAGTATGGTCGCAGACGGCTCCTACCCAGCAGTTGTCGTTAAGAGGTGAGAAACACGCACTATACTACCACAGCGATGCTGAGATATTCGCAAAATTTAGACCCCGAGCCAGATCGAACCACGACTACCCTTTCCGGGGGGTCGTGTGTTACACACTGCACAGCGGAGGATCTTGCTTTGCATCTCTCTCAGCTAGTTTCCTACCTAACGCTGCAATTAACAATAACCTAAGCCTCGCGAATATCTTAGCGCCGCTGTAGTTCTCCTTCACATCATACCCTGCCATGAAAAATTTAATTATAGTAGGCAACAAATAAAAAAGTTATACCCACTGTACTTTCGACACCTTCAAGTATGCGGAAGAGTTACGGATTTTTGATCTGCAACGTGTGCAAGCCTCTACCACTCTTAACAATCGTAAACGGAACCTTGCAAATCACGGGAAAGTACAGAAGATGGCCATCTTCTTCTCGAACACTATCTCACTTTCAAAAATTAAAGCAGAAATAAATAGAAGAACAACCAATAAAAGTAGGTATTTATAGTATCTCTTTAACAGAATAAGTCGGTTCGTACAATAAAACACACACATACTCTTAAGATTGGACGCTAATTCAATTATCATTTCCTGTTAGAAGGATTCACGAATATCTTCGACCACAAAACTTTGCCTTTCGTAAACCACCTGGCGATCTGGAACAAGAGGAGAGTTGCTAAATGAATTTTCGGAGAAATAAATTTCACTACACCTACATATCTCGGAGATATTGCAGATCAAAGTCCACGCTTCCATTACCTTAGGGTTGCAAGCTCGCAATTTCAGAACAAAATCGTATGCTTGTCTTTTTAAAATTCCACATCCTTATGAAACGTCATTCCTAAAGAATGCATGAGTTGGGGTTCTAAACGGAAGCTCTGCACTACACATTCGTATTACCTTGCGAAATATCTGCAAGTCGTCGCTAATAGGAGGTGGTTCATTTACATTTATAGAATATTTATAATAGACGTGTCCAACCAACACTTCGAACTGTGTTCCCCAATCACCAATACGATTAACTCGTAAAGCGTATAAAAATAAATTAGCAAACAAGAGTAATAATGTAAAAAGTGATTTGCTCGGTGAATAAAAAAGTGGAAAAACCCTGCAAGTTAATGCTTCAACAATATTTTTAGCCCGCTTACCACTCACGTCAAAGCCAAATACGCCCATAAACGACAGATTGAATTCCCCGTGATCGTCGAGCGAGGGTAGCTCACAAGCATTTCTGTTGAGATATTAGGAGACGAAGAATCAGGAGACTTCTTTTCTTCCTATCAGCTGTGAAAGCTTAGTTTGTGTAAACATAAAGTTCACTGTTATTCCTGACTTTACATGCATTAGTTTTCCGGCAAGACAAGTAAACATGAGCAAAGCTTCTGCAGACTTTTTTTTAGAAAACTAAAAATTGCAAAACAACCATTACAGCGAACAGGGAAGTTTTCATTGCAGAAGTTTGAGTTCATGTCAATGCGATATCCGTTGTTTATTGATTAAAAACCTGACCAAAAATATGTTAATGTAGCCTCCTGGCACAACCTAGATCTAAAACTACTTGTCAGTATATTACAACTTAAAATGTATACTTACTTGGTACTTGAATGGCCCGTCCTTACTGGTTGTGCGGGCCACAGCATAACTTCCACTTTCTCGGAGTTTTGCTGGTTTAGCCATTATGGTTCTCTGGACTTCAGAAGGCAGTGTAGCCAAAGTCCGCCGAAGTGGTCACCACCACTGGCAGTCGCCGCCCTTGTGGATCAGGAGATTTTCCACCACGCGACTAGCCTGGTACCAGGACGGTGGCTGACCCTGGTATTGGTTTACCCCCAAATGCGCATCCTGATGGAAAAGCCGAACTCCTTCTCATCTTAGGAGACTCCATCGGAGGATGAATACCACCGCTGTACATCAAAGCATGACATCCAAGAACATCTTCCAGCTACGATGAGGCGGTAAACCGTTAGGAGGACTCGTTATGCATATTCAACGAAATCACACTTCCTCTACTAAATCACATGCCAAGATTTTCGATTTGAATTCCACCGCAATTACACATGGCCACATAACAAACCCAGCTGCACTCAGTCTCTGGAAAATATCACTAAAAGAGGACATAATTCATTTATTTGTACAGCACTGCGCTCGCCACCGCGGAGTTGCACGGATAGTCACCAAACTTGATATTAGTCGTTTCCATCAAAGCCGTTGCAGCCCCATCGATCGAAGGACACGCCAAAATTGTGGTCTAGTTCTTGTTCACTGCATGGTAACAACAATAATGGATGTTCTAGCTTATACCTACAAAAAACACGAAGTTTATGACAATAAAGACAAGAATAAAACCTTCATTATAATTGTTCTGGAAATACCGATGAGTTTAGTCAATATGTTCGAGGAACAATCCTGTTCTTGCCATCTCGTTAGAGAACCCGAGATAGAACTCAAGTTCCTTCTTTGCAGGCATTCCCACTCTTTCAGCAAACACGACCGCTACCGACCAATATAAAGTAAGATAAACAGAAAAGACAGAACTCACCACGCTGCCCACATGTCATCCGATTAGAAAGCTGACAGCCTTGTAAATGGAGACTTAGCCGTACAAGAAATTACTGGATGGGTTAATGAAGACGCGAACGATTTATAAAATTCAAACACGCCGATATCGAACTGACTAACGACAATTTACGTCGAATTTACGTCGGAAGCAGGACCACAGCAGCAGGTTGTTCAGAAGAAGGCCGTAATGGGTCAGCTCTAGACGTTCTGTGGTTTAAAATAAGCGTAAAAACTCGTTCATATCAAACAACTGGAATGAATTTATACGTCCAATGGCTTAGCGATAATTCTAACAATGGATAACAACAAGAACAAACTCCGAAATTCAAGTGGTATGCAACGCCAGACCAAGAGAAGATAACAAAATTGAGAAAAAACAAAAAACACATCTCTATACAGAAATTACCGGATGGTGGAAGGTGCAAAGGATAAGCTATGAAAGCACATTTTTGATTCAGAACTCTACTTTCTTGATGAGCAAGTAGATATTGGAGTCCAATCCAAAGCCATGAAGGTTGAATGCCTTAAAGTTAACAATGACTACTTGG